GGGAGAGATTGTACGGATCCTGGCCGGGCTATTCAATAAAGGGAGAGATTATACGAATCCTGGCCGGGCTATTCAATAAAGGGAGAGATTATACGAATCCTGGCCGGGCTATTCACTAAAGGGAGAGATTATACGAATCCTGGCCGGGCTATTCACTAAAGGGAGAGATTATACGGATCCTGGCCGGGCTATTCACTAAAGGGAGAGATTATACGGATCCTGGCCCGGCTATTCACTAAACGGAGAGATTATACGAATCCTGGCCGGGCTATTCACTAAAAAGGGAGAGATTATACGAATCCTGGCCGGGCTATTCACTGAAGGGAGAGATTATACGAATCCTGGCCGGGCTATTCACTAAAGGGAGAGATTATACGAATCCTGGCCGGGCTATTCACTAAAGGGAGAGATTATACGAATCCTGGCCGGGCTATTCACTAAAGTGAGAGATTATACGAATCCTGGCCAACTATTCACTAAAGGGAGAGATTATACGAATCCTGGCCAACTATTCACTAAAGGGAGATGTTAAGACACCTCTAGTGTCTTTAAGCCAAACCGCCGTTTAGTAGACCTTCCCCGGCTGCAGTACAGTCTCCGTTCGCTTACTCTGTAACACACGAACCAAATGCAGGGGAAGCGGCAATCTCCCGAACGAGATCCGTGAACGGCCCCAAACTCCCGAACGGCAATACATGAACTGCTGGTAACCGTCGAACAGCAATATTCACCAAGCGGCTTTCGTTCCATCCAGCAGTCTCTAAACGTGAAGAAGAAATCCCCCCAATAACGAGACAGAAGCTCCGCATTGAGGGTCAAACAGAATCTGGTTTTACTGTGGGCTACCTGCCCGTATTTATGCAGGTCTCCCACCTGGGGGACATCCCAGACACACAGTCACAGATTTTACCCACAGTGCATTATGATTCCCTCCCCTCTGCCCTGGAGTTAATTACCAAGTAACTCAATTAACTCCAGGACAAAGCCAGTCGCCATCTTAGACATAAAATAATAAAAGACATAAAAATATATAACTACATCAAACTGAACATTTCCCATTCGTATTACATGTCCCCAGATAGCCTGGATCTGAGTGCATATTATTAGCGAATAGCGCTCAGATCCCACACACATAGTTCAATCGCCATTGAGTCAAAGTTCTTACAGTCTTTCGGTATACGAATGACTCCATGGGAAGGCTATCTGGGTTAAGTCTTTTCGTATGCTCTCAATCTCCCGAACGGCCGGTGTTCGCATGCTTTCGTGGAGGCAGCCAGGCGTTCCGTTGTTTCAGCGGTGTTCGGCAGAAAAAGTGTCCGTTTTCAGTTCCATAGAAATAGAGCCAAACACCGCTGAGCGTTCGCATGATTTAAAATGGCCGCTGCCTCGTGGTCGACATACGAACAACGACCACCCTGAATTCGGCTTAATTGAGAAGTGTCTGCGGTTAACCACAACGTTCTAATTGGGATCACTTCGTTAACCTGCAGCACACTCCTCACTTGGGTGGCCGTTTGTTCGGCAGTTTTGTTCGGGAAAAAGAGTCATTCGAATGGCTGGGCTATAGAAACCAGCCATTCATACGAACGGGGGACAAACAGACGTCTGTTTGTCGTGACAACCCATCTGCATTCCCGTTCAGCTTACCGGGTCTGTAGCTGATGGTAAAATTGTAGGGCTGTAGGGCCAAGCTCCATCTCAGCAGTCTTCCATTGTCTACCGAGACCCGGTTAAGCCAAACGAGTGGGTTGTGATCAGTCACAAGGGAAAACTCTTGCCCATACAAATAGGGGCTTAACTTTTTCAATGCCCAGACCAAGGCCAAACACTCCTTCTCCACTGCCGCATAACTCACTTCTCTGGGTAACAACTTTCTGCTGAGATATGCGACAGGGTGCTCTCCTCCATCTTCCCCTACTTGGCTCAGCACAGCCCACAGTCCATACATGGAAGCATCTGTATGGACGAGAAAGCGTTTGTTAGGGACTGGGGCTGCCAAGACGGGCATTCACAAGAGCCTGCTTCAGTGCCTGGAACGCAGCTTCACAAGCCGGAGACCACAGGACCTGCTTAGGCAAGTTTTTCTTGGTCAGGTCTGTCAGGGGCTTAGCAATAGCGCTGTAGTCGGGGACAAAACGTCTGTAGTACCCTGCCGTCCCCAAGAAGGCCAATACCTGGGTCTTAGTGGTAGGTGTGGGCCAGTTAGCCACTGCCTCTACCTTGGCTGGCTCTGGTCTCTGGCTCCCACACCCCACTCTGTGACCCAGGTACTGTACTTCAGCCATACCTAGATGGCACTTTTCTGGTTTCAATGTCAGGCCAGCGGCCCGAATTTTATCCAGCACTACCCCTACATGTACCAGGTGTTCCTCCCAGGACCCACTGTAAATCGCAATGTCGTCCAAGTATGCACAGGCAAATTCTTGGAAGCCATCCAGGAGTCTATCCACCATCCGTTGGAAGGTAGCCGGTGCATTTTTCATCCCAAAAGGCATGACCTTAAATTGGTACAGGCCAAATGGGGTGACAAATGCCGACTTGGGGATAGCATCCTCGGCCAGGGGGATCTGCCAGTAGCCCTTACACAGGTCTATGGTGGTCAGATATCGCCCCCTGGCAATACGATCCAGTAATTCGTCTACCCGGGGCATTGGGTAGGCGTCAGTGGTGGTCCGCTCGTTGAGTCGCCTGTAGTCCACACAGAACCGGGTGGTCCCATCTTTCTTGGGCACCAGGACTACAGGCGAGGCCCAAGGGCTGTCGGAGTGCTCGATGACTCCAAGCTGGGTCATCTCCTGTATCTCCTTCCGCATTCCTTCACGGACTGCTTCAGGGATACGATAGGGGGGCTGTCGTAACGGGGTCTGTCCAGGGGTCTCTACCTTATGCACAGCTAGTGTGGTATAACCTGGTTCCTGGGAGAACATCGCCTGCTTCTCCCATAACAACTGCTGCGCCTGTACCCTTTCTGTGGGGTTCAACCGGTCCCCTAGCTGTACCAAGGTAGTAAGGTCAGTCTGGGAATCCCTTTCTAATAGATCGGGAAGGGGTAAATTCTCAGAATCATCTGCAGCTGGGGCACATACTGCTGCAATATTCTCAGGTCTCTCCTGGTACTCTTTCAGCATGTTCACATGAAAGGACCGCTGGATCCTCTCATCTGCACAGCTGGCTATCAAGTAAGTAGTGTCGCAGATCTGCGCCACTACCTTGTACGGGCCCTGCCAAGATGCTTGCATCTTGTTGGCCTTCACAGGTTTGAGCACCAATACCTTTTGCCCAACCTGGAAGACCCGCTGTCGGGCACCCTGATCGTACCATCTCTTCTGTCTCCCCTGGGCCGTCTGGAGATTCTCCCTTACCATCAGGGACAGTTTCTCCATGCGGTCCCGGAGTTCCAGAACATATGGCACAATGGGGGTCCCCTCTTGCTCCGTCTCCCCCTCCCAGTGGCCTCTAATGAGATCTAGGGGTCCGCGGAACCTTCTCCCATACAGCAGCTCAAAGGGGGAGAACCCAGTGGATTCCTGTGGCACCCCTCTATAAGAAAATAATACATGAGGCAGGAATCTCTCCCAGTCTCTGCAAGTGTCTGTAAAGGTCCTCAGCATCTGTTTGAGGGTACCGTTAAAGCGCTCGCAGAGACCGTTAGTCTGTGGGTGGTAGGGTGAGCTAAGTAATGGCTTAATGCCACACACCTTCCACAGCTGCTGGGTGAGCACAGCGGTGAATTGGGTTCCCTGGTCGGAGAGAATCTCCTTAGGGAACCCGACCCTAGTAAAAATTCTAACCAGGGCATCAGCAACCGTCTCTGCCTCTATGTTAGACAGCGCTACTGCCTCTGGATAGCGGGTGGCATAGTCCACCACGGTAAGAACGTATTTCTTACCTGATGGACTAGCCCTGGCCAGTGGACCCACGATGTCAACGGCTATGCGGGCAAAGGGCTCCCCTATAATAGGCATCGATAATAGCCTAGCCTTAGGGTGGTCCCCCCGCTTTCCTACCCGTTGACATGTGTCACACGTGCTGCAGTACATCCGCACAGCCTGGTTAAAGTTTGGCCAAAAGAAATTCTGCGAGATCCTATAGGCTGTGTGGCGGGACCCTAGATGTCCAGCTAACGGAACATCATGCCCTATCCGCAGAATCTCCTGCCGGTACTTTGCAGGTACCACTAACTGGCGATTCGGCGGAGAGGCAACACTCTTCTGGGAAGGTTTAGGGATCCTATATAACCTGTCCCCCACCCACTCATACCGTTCCCCATCTATTCCTTCCTCTCCAGCATTTGCCCTGTCTTTGTACTTTTGGAGGGTCGGATCTGCCCGGGTTTCCCTCCCAAACTCCTCTGGGGAATCCCAGCTTAAGGGGACCTGATCTGGGGTATCAGTCGGGGAAGGAGATCTTACCTGGGTCTCATCAGCAGGTGAGCTGGTTCCAGCAGCACGGGCCTGGGCACGGGTGATCACGGTGTTCACATCTGCAGGGCCCATCGGAGCATATGCTGAAACCAAAGGGGCCAAATCGTTTCCCAGAAGAACATCTGCGGGTAAGTCTTTCATCACCCCCACATCCACATGTCTAGCGCCCACTCCCCAATCCAAATGTACCCGGGCAACAGGTAAGCGAAACACAGCACCCCCTGCTACCCTTACTGCCACAGTGTCCCCAGTGTGTTGATGCTCTGAGACCAAGTTCTTTTGGAGTAGTGTCATCGTGGCTCCTGTGTCTCGCAACCCATTTACCACCCTGCCATTCAGCTTCACAGTTTGCCGATGTTGCTGGCGATTATCCTGGTGGGCTGCTTGCACTGGGTCTGCCTCGTGTAGGATGCCCCAGAATTCCTCCTGCTCTATGCAGTGAGCAGCAGGCTGAGGTGGGCGCTGGTTCCCATTGACTGGTCTCCTCCAGGACTGAGCTTGGTTGGCACTGTTCAGTGGGCACTCAGGACGCTTGTGCCCCAACTGCTTGCACCCAAAGCACCGGATGGGTTGGGAATATTCACAGGCATTAAATCGTGCAGGCTGTACAAAATTGTTAGCTGGCGGTGCGGCTGGGTTACGGTGTACTGGGGGTTGGTAGGCTGAAGGAGCGGGTATTACTGCTGGTCGATACTCCAGTCTGGCAGGGGCTTTGGCAGCTGTACCATCCAACTTGCGGGCATCCGTGTATTCGTCTGCCAGACGAGCAGCCTCGGGTAGGGTAGAGGGTTTTCTATCGCTGACCCACTCCCGGACCCCAGCAGGTAGTCTATCAAAGCAGTGTTCCAGCAGGAACACTTGTAACACCTCCTCCCCAGTTACCGCTTGGCATCCAGCCATCCAGTGGGCTGCGGTACGATGAACTCTGCAGGCCCACTCCACATAAGAGTCCCCACCCAGCTTGTTGGTTTCTCTAAACCTCCGCCTGTACGCCTCTGGGGTCACCGCATACCTGGCTAGGAGCGCATCTCTCACAGCCCGGTAGCTGGTGATCTCCTCCTCAGGGATGGCCCGAAACGCCTCACTAGCCTGGCCAGATAATTTCCCAGAGAGGATGGTGACCCATTCATCTGCAGGTACCTGATGTAGAGCACACTGCCTCTCGAAGTCCGCTAGGAACCCATCAATCTCTCCCTCAGTCTCCACAAAATTTTTAAATGCAGCAAAAGGTACCTTCTTTCTAGCAAACACATTATTATTGTAAGGTACCTCTGCTGCTGCAGCTCCTCTTTCCCGGAGCGCCTGTTGTGCTGCTACTGCTGTCAGCTGAGGGTTTGGGGCACTGCCCAGTTAAATTGTATTTCCTCGGGTGTTAAATCCAAGGTACTGGGCACGTTGACTCTCTCCATTCCCGTTGCTGCATCCATCTCCAGTAGCAAAGCAATAATCTCCCGTTTCTTTAAATTGCTTGCTGACCTTCCTCGGCGTTCCAATATGTCCTTAAGTGTAGCACGCCTTAATTCCTCGTACTGCATGTCTTGTAGCTGACCTCCAATGCTGTGGGATTCATCCCGTCGCTTGCCACCAATTGTTAAGACACCTCTAGTGTCTTTAAGCCAAACCGCCGTTTAGTAGACCTTCCCCGGCTGCAGTACAGTCTCCGTTCGCTTACTCTGTAACACACGAACCAAATGCAGGGGAAGCGGCAATCTCCCGATCGAGATCCGTGAACGGCTCCAAACTCCCGAACGGCAATACACGAACTGCTGGTAACCGTCGAACAGCAATTTTCACCAAGCGGCTTTCGTTCCATCCAGCAGTCTCTAAACGTGAAGAAGAAATCCCCCCAATAACGAGACAGAAGCTCCGCATTGAGGGTCAAACAGAATCTGGTTTTACTGTGGGCTACCTGCCCGTATTTATGCAGGTCTCCCACCTGGTGGACACTCCCCTAGGGGACCAAATGGGAGACTTAAATTACAGACAGATCTGGGGACATCCCAGACACACAGTCACAGATTTTACCCACAGTGCATTATGATTCCCTCCCCTCTGCCCTGGAGTTAATTACCAAGTAACTCAATTAACTCCAGGACAAAGCCAGTCGCCATCTTAGACATAAAATAATAAAAGACATAAAAATATATAACTACATCAAAACTGAACATTTCCCATTCGTATTACATGTCCCCAGATAGCCTGGATCTGAGTGCATATTATTAGCGAATAGCGCTCAGATACCACACACATAGTTCAATCGCCATGGAGTCAAAGTTCTTACAGTCTTTCGGTATACGAATGACTCCATTGGAAGGCTATCTGGGTTAAGTCTTTTCGTATGCTCTCAATCTCCCGAACAGCCGGTGTTCGCATGCTTTCGTGGAGGCAGCCAGGCGTTCCGTTGTTTCAGCGGTGTTCGGCAGAAAAAGTGTCCGTTTTCAGTTCCATAGAAATAGAGCCAAACACCGCTGAGCATTCGCATGATTTAAAATGGCCGCTACCTCGTGGTCGACATACGAACGACGACCACCCTGAATTCGGCTTAATTGAGAAGTGTCTGCGGTTAACCACAACGTTCTAATTGGGATCACTTCGTTAACCTGCAGCACACTCCTCACTTGGGTGGCCGTTCGTTCGGCAGTTTTGTTCGGGAAAAAGAGTCATTCGAATGGCTGGGCTATAGAAACCAGCCATTCATACGAACGGAGGACAAACAGACGAACGTAGTAAAAATCTAAGCAGACAGATGGTTCTGTCACAGGAGAGATTATACGAATCATGGCCGGGCTATTCACTAAAGGGAGAGATTATACGAATCCTGGCCGGGCTATTCACTAAAGGGAGAGATTATACGATCCTGGCCGAGCTATTCACTAAAGGGAGAGATTATACGGATCCTGGCCGAGCTATTCACTAAAGGGAGAGATTATACGAATCCTGGCCGGGCTATTCACTAAAGGGAGAGATTATACGAATCCTGGCCGGGCTATTCACTAAAGGGAGAGATTATACGAATCCTGGCTGGGCTATTCACTAAAGGGCGAGATTATACGAATCCTGGCCGGGCTATTCACTAAAGGGAGAGATTATACGAATCCTGGCCGGGCTATTCACTAAAAAGGGCGAGATTATACGAATCCTGGCCGGGCTATTCACTAAAGGGCGAGTTTATACGAATCCTAGCCTGGCTATTCACTAAAGGGCGAGATTATACGAATCCTGGCTGGGCTATTCACTAAAGGGGAGTGTGACAGAACCATCAGTATGATTATTCAGGTGTAGATCACCCCAGAAGCTTACAGACGGCAATTTAGAGAAACCAACAAGCAGGTTGGTGACTCTTATGTGGAATGGGCCTGCAGAATGCATCGTACCGCAGCCCACTGGATAGCCGGATGCCAAGCGATAACTGGGGAGGAGGTGCTACAGGTGTTCTTGCTGGAGCACTGCTTTGATAGACTACCTGCTGGGGTCCGGGAGTGGGTCAGGGATAGAAAAACCTCTACCCTACCCGAGGCTGCCCGGCTGGCAGATGAATATACGGACACTCGCAAGTTGGATAGTACAGCTACCAAAGTCCCTGCCAGACTGGAGTATCGACCAGCAGTACCTCCAGCTCCTTCAGCATACCAACCCCCAGTACACCGCACCCTAGCCGTACCGCCAGCTAATAACTATGTGCAACCCTCCCGGTTCAATGCCATTGACTATTCACAACCAATTCAGTGCTTTGGGTGCAAACAGTTGGGGCACAAGCGACCGGAATGCCCCCTGAACAGCGCCAATCAAGCCCAGTCGTGGAGGAGACCAGCCAGCGGGAATCACCGACCACCTCAACCTGCTGCTCACTGTATTGAGCAGGAGGAGTTCTGGGGCATTCTACACGAGGCCGACCCAGTGCAAGCAGCTCATCAGGATAATCGCCAGCAACACCGGCAAACCGTGAAGCTGAATGGCAGAGTGGTAAATGGGCTGAGAGACACAGGAGCCACCATGACACTGCTCCAAAAGAACTTAGTCTCGGAACACCAACACACTGGAGACACTGTGGCAGTGAGGGTAGCAGGAGGCGCCGTGTTCCGCCTACCTGTTGCCCGGGTACATTTGGATTGGGGAGTGGGCGCTAGACACGTGGATGTGGGGGTTATGAAAGACTTGCCCGCTGATGTTCTCCTTGGGAATGATTTGGCCCCTTTGGTTTCAGCCTATGCCCCGATGGGCCCTGCGGACGTTAACCCAGTGACTACTCGTGCCCAGACCCGTGCTGCTGGAACCGGCCCACCTGCTGATGAGACCCAGGTAAGACCCTCTTCCCCGACTGGTAGCCTAGATCATGTCCCCTGAAGCTGGGATTCCCCAGAGGAGTTTGGGAGGGAAACCCGGGCAGACCCGACTCTCCAGAAATACCGAGATAGAGCAGATGCTGGAGAGGAAGGAGTAGATGGGGAGAGGTATGAGTGGGTGAGGGACAGGTTAAGCCTTCCCAGAAGAGTGTTGCCCCTCCGCCGAATCGACAGTTAGTGGTACCTGCAAAGTACCGGCAGGAGATTCTGCGGATAGGGCATGATGTTCCGTTAGCTGGACATCTAGGGTCCCGCCACACAGCCTATAGGATCTCACAGAATTTCTTTTGGCCAAACTTTAACCAGGCTGTGCGGATGTATTGCAGTACGTGTGACACATGTCAACGGGTAGGAAAGTGGGGGGACCACCCTAAGGCTAGGCTATTATCGATGCCTATTATAGGGGAGCCCTTTGCCCGCATAGCTGTTGACATTGTGGGTCCACTGGCCAGGGCTAGTCCATCAGGTAAAAAAATACGTTCTTACCATGGTGGACTATCCAGAGGCAGTAGCACTGTCTAATATAGAGGCAGAGACGGTTGCTGATGCCCTGGTTAGAATTTTTACTAGGGTCGTGTTCCCTAAGGAGATCCTCTCCGACCAGGGAACTCAATTCACCGCTGTGCACACCCAGCAGCTGTGGAAAGTGTGTGGCATTAAGCCGTTACTTAGCTCACCCTACCACCCACAGACTAACGGTCTCTGCGAGCGCTTTAACGGTACCCTCAAACAGATGCTGAGGACCTTTACAGATACTTGCAGAGACTGGGAGAGATTCCTGCCTCATCTGTTATTTTCTTACAGAGAGGTGCCCCAGGAATCTCCTGGGTTCTCCCCCTTTGAGTTGCTGTATGGGAGAAGGGTCCGCGGACCCGCAGATCTCATTCGGGGCCACTGGGCGGGGGAGACAGAGCAAGAGGGGACCCCCATCGTGCCATATGTTCTGGAACTCCGGGACGCATGGAGAAACTGTCCCTGATGGTAAGGGAAAATTTCCAGGGGAGACAGAAAAGATGGTACGATCAGGGTGCCCGACAGTGGGTCTTCCAGGTTGGGCAAAAGGTATTGGTGCTCAAACCTGTGAAGGCCAACAAGATGCAAGCATCTTGGCAGGGCCCATACAAGGTAGTAGCGCAGATCTGCGATACTACTTACTTGATAGCCAGCTGTGCAGATGAGAGGGTCCAGCGATCCTTTCATGTGAACATGCTGAAAGAGTACCAGGAGAGACCTGAGAATATTGCAGCAGTATGTGCCCCAGCTGCAGATGATTCTGAGAATCTACCCCTTCCAGATTTGTTAGAAAGGGATTCCCAGACTGACCTTACTACCCTTGTACAGCTTGGGGACAGGTTGAACCCCACAGAAAGAGTACAGACACAACAGTTGTTGTGGGAGAAGCAGGCGACGTTCTCCCAGGAGCCAGGTTATACCACCCTAGCTGTACATAAGGTAGAGACCCCTGGACAGCCCCCCTATCGTATCCCTGAAGCAGTCCGTGAAGGAATGCGGAAGGAGATACAGGAGATGACCCAGCTTGGGGTCATCGAGCACTCCGACAGCCCTTGGGACCACCACTGACGCCTACCCAATGCCCAGGGTAGACGAATTACTAGATCGTATTGCCAGGGGGTGCTATCTGACCACCATAGACCTGTGTAAGGGCTACTGGCAGATCCCCCTGGCCGAGGATGCTATCCCCAAGTCGGCATTTGTCACCCCATTTTGGCCTGTACCAATTTAAGGTCATGCCTTTTGGGATGAAAAATGCACCGGCTACCTTCCAACAGATGGCTTCCAAGAATTTGCCTGTGCATACTTGGACGACTTTGCGATTTACAGTGGGTCCTGGGAGGAACACCTGGTACATGTAGGGGTAGTGCTGGATAAAATTCGGGCCGCTGGCCTGACATTGAAGCCAGAGAAGTGCCATCTAGGTATGGATGAAGTACAGTACCTGGGTCACAGAGTGGGGTGTGGGAGCCAGAGACCAGAGCCAGCCAAAGTAGAGACGGGCTAACTGGCCCACACCTACCACCAAGACCCAGGTATTGGCCTTTTGGGGATGGCAGGGTACTACAGATGTTTTATCCCTGACTACAGCACTATTGCTAAGCCCCTGACAGACCTGACGAAGAAGAACTTGCCTAAGCAGGTCCTGTGGTCTCCGGCTTGTGAAGCTGCGTTCCAGGCACTAAAACAGGCCCTTGTGAATGCCCCTGTCTTGGCTGCCCCAGTCCCTAACAAACGCTTTCTCGTCCACACAGATGCTTCCATGTATGGACTGGGGGCTGTGCTGAGCCAAGTCCGGGAGGATGGAGGAGAGCACCCTGTCGCATATCTCTATGTGTCTGGAATGTCCCCATATCTGTCTGTCATTTAAGTCTCCCATTTGGTCCCCTAGGGGAGTGTCCACCAAGTGGGAGACTTGCATAAATACGGGCAGGTAGCCCACAATAAAGCCAGATCCTGTTTGACCCTCAATGCGGAGCTTCTGTCTCGTTATTGGGGGGATTTCTTCTTCACGTTTAGAGACTGCTGGATGGAAACGAAAGCCGCTTGGTGGATGTTATGGTTCGGCGGCTAGCAACAGTTCGTGTATTGCCGTTCGGGAGTTTGGAGCCGTTCACGGATCCCAGTCGGGAGATTACCGCTTCCCCTGCATTTGGTTCGTGCACTACAGGTTATGCGAACGGAGCTTATTGATATTACAGACGGGGAAGGTCGACTAAACGGCGGTTTTGCTTAAAGACACTGGGGGTGTCTTAACAACCTCTATCAGTGACTGTCTGGTGGTGGTGAGGGTTTAGCTGGGTTCACCACAGTCGTACGCCAGAACTGTATGCATGTGAAAAATCAGAGGTATTCTTGAAGCGTGTGGGGGCTTGTCCCCTTAAGGTCTGCGTCCGCAGGACCCTCGTGCATTTGGCTGGGGTTCCCCCCAGGTGGTGTGCCATGATAACCCAGAGGACACCCACGTTAGAATTACTGGCACATTACAGGCATTGCATGCATATCTGGGGGGTCACCCCAGGTGGTGTGCCATGAAAACCCAGAGGACACCCACGTTATAATTATTGGCACATTACATGCATTGCATGCATATCAGGGGGGTCACCCCAGGTGGTGTGCCATTAAAACCCAGAGGACACCCACGTTATAATTATTGCCACATTACAGGCATTGCATGCATATCGGGGGGGTCACCCCAGGTGGTGTGCCATGATAACTCAGAGAACACCCACGTTATAATTATTGGCACATTACAGGCATTGCATGCATATCTGGGGGGTCACCCCAGGTGGTGTGCCATGAAAACCCAGAGGACACCCAGGTTCAGAAATGTACACTAGGTACAGTAAATATATATATATATATATATATATATCCCTGTGAAGGGTAATGTGTATGTAGCGGATGGCACTGGGCTGTCCTGCAAATGTCTTTGAAATTACTGCATTCGTGTGATCTGCTAGTTTTCTATGTGTTTTAAAAGAATTGTATTCCTCTGATTGTTCGGTAGTTTCATTCCCTTAGTTTATTCGAATGAAAATACCGAACAACCAGACCTCCCCTGTGTGAAGTGTGTCCTCAATTACCCGTTGCAACATTGTTGCGAACGGGTAATTGACTAGTAAGTAGCCGTCCTTTGTTCTCGGGGGTGGCCGCCATTCGACAAACGAACACGTGGCGGCGGCCATTTTAAAACTCCCGAACAGCGGTGTTTTGCCGTCGAGTGTCTGGAACTAAAATCGGACACTCGAGTAGGCGAACACCGCTGAGACCTCCACAAGCCTGGTCCGTTCGGTTCCAAACTACCGAACGGCCCCTCGTTCGGTAGATAGAAAGAACCGAACGAGGGGATTCAGGCGAACCCTCCCTAGCCTCTATAGCTAGAGGTTTTCGTGTATTTAATTCCCTTATGCCAGGACCGACCGCAGGGCCCATTCGCATGGAACCTCATTCGGCTATCTCAGTTAGTGCGGTCGGTCATTTTATTCCCTCCATACATTTCCCGAACCCCTGGTCTGATCTGGGTGATTTTTGGATATGTTGTTCACCCAGATCAGGGGTATCCGGGGATGTAGGATTTAAAGCGGTACCCCTACGTTTAGGGGTACATCCAGAAACGGGGGGAATTACTGTACTGGATAAGGGGATTATGATGCTGGCTGAGGGGAGGAGATGTGTGGGAGGTTACCAGGACAGGATTGGCTACTGTAATAATTATTGTAAATCCCTCCCTTGCATGGGAGCATGCTTTAAAAGGAGACTGTGGATTAAAGCTTTCAGTTCTGCTCCTGAAACTGTGTGTCGTCCAGTTATTGGGATTGCTGTGGGGATATTGCTGTATTTTACCTGCTGGAAACCTTGCCTGTGGATTTACTATTTACTTGTTCCTGAGCCTCACTTGGATTATAAGCGGAGATAACCTGGGGAATATTGCATCTCCGCTACATTGGTTGGCAGCGCTGGGATCCAGACTCACAAGGGAACAAGGACTAATGGAATACGGATGGAGAGTGATTATGCCAAGCTTAAAAGATCCACGCTAAAAGATCTCCTGGAAGCGAAAGGTATTGCAGCCAGCAACAAAAGGAAAGCAATCCTCATTGCAGAAGTGATGGCTGAATACCAGCAGGAGGACAGGGCAATCCCTGAGCAGCAGAGTGCAGCAGATGGAGCTGAAAAAGAGGAGTTCCAGAGACAGCTGCAGTTCAGGCTGTCCTTTTATGGAGAGAATCCAACGGCGGATATTATATCCAGGACAATGACAGAGGTGCAGGAGTTTATACTGCGTCAAAGGCCACTACAGCAGCTGGAGAGGAATGCTACCACAGCTACCATCACACAGGGTAAGACAAAAATTCCTTACCAAGCCTTTAAAACATATGTAGAAGCAGAGGAAGATATAGATGCTTTTCTCCAAGACTTTGAAAGGCTGTGTGCATTGCATAATATTAGCCCAGACGAGTGGGTGCCTATTTTAGCAGGGAAGCTCACAGGGAAGGCTGCTGAAGCCTATAGAACTGTACCTGATGAGGAAATTCGAATTACCGCAGAGTAAAAGAGGTGATCCTGGCCCGATATGCAATCACGCCAGAGGCATATCGGCAGCGGTTTAGAGACCTAAAGAGAAAGGACAAGGACTCTCATGTGGAATGGGCTTGCAAGTTACATCGGGCCGCCCTGGGGTGGGTACAGTCCAATAAGGCTCGGTCCATGGAGGACTTATTACAAATGGTGTTGTTGGAGCAATTTTATGAGGGGGTAACCAGCGATGTCCAGGAATGGGTGAGGGACAGAAACCCTACCTCCCTCACCAAAGCTGCCAGGAAGGCAGATGAGTACCTGGATGCACGCAGGCAACAGAAACCTGCAGCCCCAAAAGCCACCTTTAAAATATTTGGGGGAAACAGCTACAACCCAGCTCCACCGAGACAACTGCCACCACCACCACCACCCGCTGCGCAGCCACGTTTTCGCCAGCCCACTTCTGGCCCCTGTCATCACTGCCAGAAATGGGGACATTATAAAAGGGAATGTCCTCAGCTGAGGGATAGTTCCACCTGGATTCGCCCCGGCCCACCACCACCACCAAGAGCAGCCGCAGCCAACCACTACCAAGATATAGTGGCCACACCATATGGTTCAGTCGTTCCCATAACAACCGTGGAACAGTGGGAAGTACTGCACGAGGCGGATCCAGTCCAGGCCAATGCGGATAACAGACAACATCACAGGCAGACCGTATATCTGGAGGGTAAAGCAGTACAAGGACTACGTGACTCAGGGGCCACTATCACCCTGGTAAAGAGTCACCTGGTGTCGGATCAAGCGAAACTGAGTAAAACTGTGGCCGTCCGGGTAGCCGGGGGAGCAGTGTACCGGCTACCTACAGCAAGGGTACATTTACATTGGGGAGCGGGGGCAGGGCATGTGGAGGTGGGGTTGATGCCGCAGTTACCGGCGGAGGTATTGTTGGGGAACGATCTGGGGAGGCTTACGTCTGCTTTTGAGCCCCAGACACCCACCACAGGAGAAGCTCACCCTGTGGTCACCCGACAACAGGCCCGCACCCAGGACTACAACACACTTCCGGAGGTTCAGGTACGAGACCCTTCCCCTTCCCTTGACTGTGTTCCCTGGGCCCCTCCTGACGAATTTGCAGCTGAGATAGCGACTGACCCCACCTTGCAGGTGTATAGGGACAAGGTGACAGCAGACCCTCCTGGGGGAGAGGGAGAGAGATTTGTCTGGGACAAGCAGCTGTTGTACAGGGAGACAGACAAGCAGATTGATGGGTCAGACCCAATAGTGATGAGGCAGCTAGTGGTGCCGCAGCGGTACCGAGCAGAGCTACTCCGGATAGCGCACGATATCCCGCTATCCGGACATCTAGGGGTCAGTCGCACTAGGTACCGACTGACCCAAAGTTTCTTCTGGCCAGGGATCAGCCAGGAGGTACGCAGGTATTGCACCACCTGCGACCTGCCAAAGGGTAGGGAAAAGGGGAGACCGGAGGAAGGCGAAACTACACCCCCTGCCCATAATTGAGGAACCGTTTAGCCGAATAGCGGTAGACCTGATAGGCCCCCTCAAGAAAGCTAGCCCGTCAGGCAAAAGGTACATTTTAACGGTAGTAGACTATGCTACTAGATATCCAGAGGCAGTGGCTCTGACCAACATTCACGCTGAAACGGTCGCGGATGCCCTCATGCAGATATTCTCCCGGTTGGGATTACCCAGGGAGATTATCTCGGATCAGGGTACCCAATTTACCGCAGAATTCACCCAACACCTCTGGAGGATCTGTGGCATTAAGCCTATTATCAGTGCCCCTTACCACCCCCAGACTAATGGGCTCTGCGAACGGTTCAATGGTACATTGAAACAAATGCTCCGAACCTTCGCAGAGACCCACAAGGACTGGGAGCGGTTCCTGCCGCATCTCCTATTCGCTTACCGGGAGGTGCCGCAGGAATCCACGGGGTTTTCCCCGTTTGAACTGCTATTTGGGAGGAGAGTCAGAGGCCCCTTAGATCTTATAAGAGAGCATTGGGAGGGAGATCGGAGCGCAGATGGCACTCCCATCATACCATATGTGTTGGCCCTCCGAGACCGCCTGGAAGCATTAACTAGGACGGTAAGGGAAAACCTTCAGGCGGCACAGACCCGTCAGCGCACATGGTATGATCGGGGAGCCAGGGACCGTAGCTTTCAGGTCGGGCAGAAAGTGCTAATTTTAAAGCCTGTCCGACATGACAAGCTACAGGCCGCCTGGCAGGGACCTTATAGGGTGGTGGAACAGAGATGTGACACCACCTATATAATTGGCCCCTGCACAGGGACGGGAGGGCGACGCATGCTCCATGTGAACATGATGAAGCCCTACCAAGAGCGCTCCGAGGAGGTAACCGCCATATGTGCGCCCAATTCTGACGAGTTTGACAGCTTACCACTCCCAGATCTGCTGGAAGATGGGCAGCTGTCTGGGGATTTAGGGGAAGTCGCACTGGGAGACCGGCTGAGTCTGCAGGAGCGCATCGAGGTACAGCGGCTGTTGGAGGAGAAACGAGACACGTTCTCTAATGTACCTGGGTACACCCCTCTGGCCACTCACCGGGTAGAGACCCCAGGGCAACTACCCATGCGCCAGACCCCCTACCACATCCCGGAAGCGGTAAGGGAAAACATGCACAAGGAGATCGATGAGATGCTCCAACTGGGGGTGATTGAGCCCTCAGATAGTCCCTGGGCTTCTCCGGTAGTGCTCGTACCGAAGCGGGACGGTACGACCCGGTTCTGCGTAGACTACCGGAGATTAAACGAGAAAACTGTGTCCGATGCATACCCTATGCCACGGATAGATGAGCTACTGGACAGAATGGCCAGGGGTCAATACCTCACTACCATTGACTTATGTAAGGGGTATTGGCAAATCCCCCTGGCCCCAGAGGCCATCCCGAAGTCGGCCTTTGTCACCCCATTTGGCTTGTACCAGTTTAAGGTCATGCCATTTGGGATGAAAAACGCCCCAGCTACTTTCCAGAGGATGGTAGACCGACTCCTGGATGGGTTCCAAGACTACACCTGTGCCTACCTGGACGATATTGCCATTTTTAGCAATACGTGGCAGGAGCACTTGGCCCATATACGAGCGGTTCTAGACAGGATTAAGGAAGCTGGTTTGACATTGAAACCGGCCAAGTGCAGCATAGGGATGGCCGAGGTGCAGTACCTCGGACATAGAGTGGGGTGCGGCAAACAGAAGCCCGAACCAGCCAAAGTAGAAGCCGTGGCCCAGTGGCCCACCCCTAGGACTAAAACTCAGGTGTTAGCCTTTCTAGGGACCGCTGAGTATTACAGAAAGTTTGTCCCTAACTATAGCGCCCTCGCCAAGCCCCTCACTAACCTTACCCGGAAGAATTTGCCCCGCCAGGTGACCTGGACCCCGGAGTGTGAGCAGGCATTCCAACATCTGAAAAATGCACTGATAAATGCTCCTGTCTTGGCAGCTCCCAATCCAACTAAACGTTTTCTTGTTCACACAGACGCTTCTATGTTTGGATTGGGAGCAGTACTGAGCCAAGTCGGAGCCGATGGCGGAGAACACCCCGTGGCTTACATCAGTCGCAAGCTGTTACCCCGAGAAGTAAGCTACGCCGCCATCAAGAAGGAATGCCTGGCTGTGGTGTGGGCCTTAAAGAAACTGCAGCCGTATCTATATGGACAGCCCTTTTCCTTACTCACGGATCACAACCCGCTGGTATGGCTAAACCGGGTGGCTGGGGACAATGCCAGGCTGCTGCGCTGGAGTTTGGCGCTGCAGCCTTTTAACTTTGATATTCAGTACCGCCCGGGTAAGCAGAGGGAATGCCGACGGGTTGTCGAGACAAACTGACCTGGAAAAATGATCTGTGAGTCCCCGGACATCCCCAAGCCGATCCGTGTTGGATCAGACTGTGTATGCCGGCTTGTGGGCAAGGGGGAGCAGTGTAGCGGATGGCACTGGGCTGTCCTGCAAATGTCTTTGAAATTACTGCATTCGTGTGATCTGCTAGTTTTCTATGTGTTTTAAAAGAATTGTATTCCTCTGATTGTTCGGTAGTTTCATTCCCTTAGTTTATTCGAATGAAATACCGAACAACCAGACCTCCCCTGTGTGAAGTGTGTCCTCAATTACCGTTGCAACATTGTTGCGAACGGGTAATTGACTAGTAAGTAGCCGTCCTTTGTTCTCGGGGGTGGCCGCCATTCGACAAACGAACACGTGGCGGCGGCCATTTTAAAACTCCCGAACAGCGGTGTTTTGCCGTCGAGTGTCTGGAACTAAAATCGGACACTCGAGTAGGCAAACACCGCTGAGACCTCCACAAGCCTGGTCCGTTCGGTTCCAAACTACCGAACGGCCCCTCGTTCGGTAGATAGAAAGAACCGAACGAGGGGATTCAGGCGAACCCTCACTAGCCTCTATAGCTAGAGGTTTTCGTGTATTTAATTCCCTTAGGCCAGGACCGACCGCAGGGCCCATTCGCATGGAACCTCATTCGGCTATCTCAGTTAGTGCGGTCGGTCATTTTATTCTCTCCATACATTTCCCGAACCCCTGGTCTGACCTGGGTGATTTTTGGATATGTTGTTCACCCAGATCAGGGGTATCCGGGGATGTAGGATTTAAAGCGGTACCCCTACGTTTAGGGGTACATCCAGAAACGGGGGGAATTACTGTACTGGATAAGGGGATTATGATGCTGGCTGAGGGGAGGAGATGTGTGGGAGGTTACCAGGACAGGATTGGCTACTGTAATAATTATTGTAAATCCCTCCCTTGCATGGGAGCATGCTTTAAAAAGGAGACTGTGGATTAAAGCTTTCAGTTCTGCTCCTGAAACTGTGTGTCGTCCAGTTATTGGGATTGCTGTGGGGATATTGCTGTATTTTACCTGCTGGAAGCCTTGCCTGTGGATTTACTATTTACTTGTTCCTGAGCCTCACTTGGATTATAAGCGGAGTAAGCGTCCCGGCCTTCCTCCAACCCATCCCTATATAGTTAGAGAATTGGAGAAGCCTGGTTGCTCGCCTGCTGCCTCTGGACTATGGCCCCCTTTTAAAAGACTTTATTTCGCCTGCAGAAAAGCTGTATTCATACTTTTCTGCCAGTTGTTCGGTAGATTCAATAGATTCGGTAGGTTAACCGCAGCTTAATTGACGAATGCTGGGTGGCCGCCATTCGTATCCCGAACACGAGGTCGCGGCCATTTTAAACATACGAATGCACAGCGGTGTTCGCCCCTATTTTCATGGAACTAAAATCGGACACAGTTTTGCGCGAACACCGCTGAAGCTGCCGACCTCCCTTCTTGTTCGGTGGAAGTGCACGAACGGCCCGGTGTTCGGTAGTTTTGTTTGAATGTGTTATACCCCAGATAGGAATCCCATGGAGCCCATTCGTATGAAACTGACTGTAAAGACTTTGGCTCCATGGCGATTAAACTGTATTCGTGTGGTCTGAGCGCCATTCACTTAATAATGTGCGCTCAGACCTGAGTTATCTGGGGATATGTTAAATGTATAGTTTTAATGTAATGTGTCTTACCTGGTGTATTTTAACAGTAATGCTTGTTTTAGTATCCCCATGTGCATAATGGAGATTTGCCTTTGTCTTGGGAAATAATTGAATTACTTCTCAATTATCTCCCAGGGCAGAGGGGAGGAAGCCAGGATGCATGGTGGGAATATACTGTGACTGTGTGTCCTATTTGTCTGCTTGTCTGTCCCTTGTCACAGTCTCCCATTTGGTCCCCTAGGGAGTGTCCACCAGGTGGGAGACCTGCATAAATACTGGGCAGGTAGCCCTCATTAAACAGACCACTGCTTGACCCTCAACACGGAGCCTTGTCTCGTCTTTGGGGGGATTTACTGAATGCTGATAGAGACTGATTGCTAGGAGTGTAAGCCGCTTGGATGCTTTTCCTATTCGTCTGGTAGCAGCAATTCGTATGGTTCCTGTTCATCTGTTTGGAGTGCTATATTGGATGCCGTTCGGGAGTTTGGAGCATTCACTTATTGGCGGTTCGTGTGTTTGGTGTTCTGCAGTAGCTGTGCCTGCATCTCGGGAAAGGGGGCCGATAGCCTAAACGGTTTTTACCCCTTTTGTGCAAGACGGTCCGTTACAATTGGTGGTAGCGGTGGGATCGTTCCCACAGACAACAGGACAGCTACAGGCGACACCATTCCGTGGATTTTACAATTTGGGGCAACGCATGTCTGAGTACAGCGACCCTGACAGCACCAGGATGGAACCAGCAGTGGCGTACAGCTACTCAAGGAGAGAGTTTGACAATATGATGCAATTGCGGCTGAAGTTCTTCGGACCCAATCCAGCTGAGAAATACGTGAAGTTCGTGAGGAACCTAGTGTGCAAGAATCTGCAATACCGGGCAGAAAGAGAAGGTCAGCTGGCACGTTGGGAGGAACTCCAGCGACAGGTACTGCAGGGAATTGGGAGCCCAGTCTCCATTCCTCAGTGGCAGTGTGATATGCAGGGAATTGGGAGCCCAGTCTCCATTCCCCAGCGGCAGTGTGATATGCAGGGAATTGGGAGCCCAGTCTCCATTCCCCAGCGGCAGTGTGATATGCAGGGAATTGGGAGCCCAGTCTCCATTCCCCAGCGGCAGTGTGATATGCAGGGAATTGGGAGCCCAGTCTCCATTCCCCAGCGGCAGTGTGATATGCAGGGAATTGGGAGCCCAGTCTCCATTCCCCAGCGGCAGAATGATTCATTGGGAATTGGGAGCCCAGTCTCCATTCCCCAGCGGCAGAATGATTCATTGGGAATTGGGAGCCCAGTCTCCATTCCCCAGCGGCAGAGTGTCCTACCGGGAATAGAGAGCCCAGTCTCCTTTCCCCAGCAGCAGGACTCTGTATTAGGAGCAGAGACAGTCGGTCTCCCTCCCCCGCGGCTGGAAGTATATATGGGAGAGGAGTTTGTTACCCCCTCTCCCCAGCGGCAGCTTAATGTACCAGGGGGAGACAGTAAGCCCCACAACTGTGCAGATGGGACCGTGGTCTCTGCACTGCCCGCACAGGGGGTAGGGACGGTCGGTTCTGCCCCCAGCGACGGGGCTGTTTTTCTAAAGGGGAGACAGTCGGTCTCCAGCAGCAGGGCTGTGTAGCCAAAGGGGAGACAGTCGGTCTCCAGCAGCAGAGCTGTGTGTCCAAAGGGGAGACAGTCGGTCTCCAGCAGCAGGACTGTGTATCTAAAGGGGAGACAGTCGGTCTCCCCCTCCAACAACCAGGCTTCAACCAGGCTACCCTCCCAGTAGCACTGGCAACAGGGCAGAGTGCCGCTGGTCTCTGCCCACGCAGCACCCCACCAAGTCAGCGTACCCGTACCCAGCACAGCCATGGTGAGGCACCTGGACATGGACAAGCTTCTCCTCTACCCAGGTGCAGTAACCATTTATTGTGGGTGGGCTGTGCTGTTGATTGTGTTTTGTGGGTGGGCTGCTGGACTAACAAGGGCACTGACTGGCAGGAGGTCAGATACCCTGTTAGTCTGTTTGGAAAAGGGGAGAGATGTGACGAGACCAATCTCGCCACATTGCATTGGAGAAGCCTGGTTGCTCGCCTGCTGCCTCTGGACTATGGCCCCCTTTTAAAAGACTTTATTTTGCCTGCAGAAAACCTGTATTCATGCTTTTCTGCCAGTTGTTCGGTAGATCCAATCTACCAAACAACCGCACGAATGAATAGACCACCTGGGAGCTGGAGTGTGCCGGCAATTAACCTCCCTGAAGCTGCGGTTAACCGCAGCTTAATTGACGAATGCTGGGTGGCTGCCATTCGTATCCCGAACACGAAGTCGTGGCCATTTTAAACATACGAATGCACAGCGGTGTTCGCCCCTATTTTCATGAAACTAAAATCGGACACAGTTTTGCGCGAACACTGCTGAAGTTCGGTGTTCGGTAGTTTTGTTTGAATGTGTTATACCCCAGATAGGAATACCATGGAGCCCATTCGTATGAAACTGACTGTAAAGACTTTGGCTCCATGGCGATTAAACTGTATTCGTGTGGTCTGAGCGCCATTCACTTAATAATGTGCGCTCAGACCTGAGCTATCTGGGGATATGTTAAATGTATAGTTTTAATGTAATGTGTCTTACCTGGTGTATTTTAACAGTAATGCTTGTTTTAGTATCCCCATGTGCATAATGGAGATTTGCCTTTGTCTTGGGAAATAATTGAATTACTTCTCAATTATCTCCCAGGGCAGAGGGGAGGAAGCCAGGATGCATGGTGGGAATATACTGTGACTGTGTGTCCTATTTGTCTGCTTGTCTGTCCCTTGTCACAGTCTCCCATTTGGTCCCCTAGGGAGGTCCACCAGGTGGGAGACCTGCATAAATACTGGGCAGGTAGCCCTCATTAAACAGACCACTGCTTGACCCTTAACACGGAGCCTTGTCTCGTCTTTGGGGGGATTTACTGAATGCTGATAGAGACTGATTGCTAGGAGTGTAAGCCGCTTGGATGCTTTTCCTATTCGTCTGCTAGCAGCGATTCGTATGGTTCCTGTTCATCTGTTTGGAGTGCTATATTGGATGCCGTTCGGGAGTTTGGAGCATTCCCTTATTGGCGGTTTGTGTGTTTGATGTTCTGCAGTAGCTGTGCCTGCATCTCGGGAAAGGGGGCCGATCGCCTAAACGGTTTTTACCCCTTTTGTGCAAGACGGTCCGTTACAGAGAAATACCCCAAAATGGTGAGAGGAAACACACCTGATAGAGCAGGATAGAATAAGGAGACAATGTAAATAAATAACCATAAAATAACCATTAAATATAAGAAGGGACAGGTATAGGAGTGCCAGGGAGTATAGAGTAAGTAGAGAATAGAAAAATAAGTACAAAACATTTTAAATGAGAAACAAACAGGAGAGACAAAATACTCTGACCTGTGCCAAGCTGGGGCAGTAAAGAAAGAGGAAGTGATGTTATAGACAGCCTTTTTTATACCTATTGACTTTTTTCTGATTGGTTGTTCTGTTTCTGTGCTGCTGATTTTCAGTAAAGAGAGTTATGCAAATATGAAGCCTCCTGTCATGGGGTAAAATTCACATTCCTTAGCTACCATATGGTCTCAAAAGGAAACAAAGGTCCAGCAAACCAATCTGGCAAACTGAATTGGGCAAGCCCTATATTGACCCTGTAACTTCCCAAAATACCATAAAACCTGTACATGGGGGAATTGTTATACTCTGGAGACTTCGCTGAACACAAATATGAGTGTTTTAAACAGTAAAACGTATCACGACAATTAAATCACCATTAAAAGTGTAGTTGTTGTGTAAAAAAATGCAAAAAACAAATATGAACGCTAACTTTGGCCAGCGTTTGTGGCTACGTGGCTACTACAAAAGACTGGACATACCCCATTTTGAATACCCTGGGTTGTCAACTTTTTCAAATGGTATGCCATGATGGGGTTAATTTTCATTTCTGGGCCGCCATACCGTCTCAAAGGCAACATAGCCAATATGGCAAATAGCAATTTACAAAAACAGAAATTGGCAAATCTTGTATTTGACCCTGTAACTTTCCAAATCACCATAAAACCTGTAATTGAGGAGTACTGTTGTACTTGTGAGACATCACTCTACAAAAATGAGTGTTTTTTTAGAGCAGTAAAATTTATTATATTGATAATATCATCGATGAAATGGCAGTTTGTGTGAAAAAAGAAACGAATATAAATGCTAATTTTGCCCAGGGTTTGTGACTAAGTGGCAACTAAAAAAGACTGGACCTACCCCATTTTGAATACCGTGGTTTGTCTACTTTTACAAATGGTATGCAATGATGGGGTTCATTTTCATTCCTGGGCTACCGTACGGTCTCAAAGGCAACATAGGCCCAGCAAACCAATCTGGCAAATTTCAATGTGCAAACATGGAAAAGGGCAAAGCCCTACAATTGACTCCTGTAAGTTTGCAAAACCCCTTTTGTTTTTATCATATTGTTGGGGTAACACATTTTCTTGTCATCTATATTTTTGTATGCACTGTGACTATTTTTTTTTTTTGGTCATAATAAATATTCATTTAATTAGTTCTGCCTTTGTCTGGTAAAGAATCACATAACCTGAATTGACTAATACAAGTTTTACAATTACTGAGATATTGTGCTATGTTGTATTTGGTGGGTTTTTATTATTAAGTTTACCTGGGGGACCAAGGCACCCCATTTATAAATTGTCTTGGTGGTGGCAGCGTTAAAATAGTAATAGTTATATTATTAAGGTTAAGTATGGGTGGTGTTAAGGGGGATTTTTATCATTAGTTCCAGTCTAGTGCAGTCAAATAGTGAACTTGAACCTTTCACCACCAGAACGAAGTTGCACACACTCTTGGAGTAGGGTGCGTTCGTGACATACCCAATGTGCTATTCCTATAAGAATTTGCCATAAGGATTCAAAATAAGGGAGCTGTCTACTAAACAGTGCCCTAATATGTTATACACTACAGTCACCAGAAGCACTACAGCTTGAATATGACAACCCCACATACTGAATTAGAGAGTTATCTACTAAACAGCTGAAAGATCAAAAGTAAGAAAAAAAAACATTTTCTTCATTTTACTCTTTTAGTTGTTTAGCATATAACTCCCTTATATGTTATCGTTATCAAAATGAATAGATCAGCACATAGCACACTCTGTCATTTCAACTGTACTGTGTAAACTGCGCAGAACTCCCTGATATGTTATCGTTATCAAAATGAATAGATCAGAAGTGATTTGTTTGAATTTGTTACGGATCTGTTTGTTTCGTTTTCGGTTCCCATCAATTCAGACATTCAGACGCTTCAATTACAGAATAAACTGAAATTCATTTCGGAACAAAACTAATTGTACGTCTCGTCTTTTATTTGTAAAATGTGTGTAAAGCAAGTATTTTAGTAACACAAAGAACATCCTATTAAACAGACTTTCTTTTCAATGTGGATCTTTTCCAGGGTATTTTAGCCCCTTCCTCTGTGCAGAGCTGGTTAAAGTCACTGATCATTCTGGGCTGGATTTTCTGAGCCATTTGAAAAAATAATAAAATTCTTCTGCTTCTACTGTGTATTAATGATGTGTTTAAGATCCAAGTTTATGCTCTCAGTGATAATAATGATATGATTGGGCCTGGCCACCAGATGGTTCAGTGTTCAGGTGTCACTGTCGTGGTCTGTCGCGGCTTCATTGATGAGTCACTGCGAGTCTGGTATGGGATGTTACAAAGTATTAGTCCATAAATATACTGACTCCAGGATTCGTTTGGTGTACCACTGCCACACACAGGTTAGAGTGAGTATTGCATCTTCCTCTTCTCCAGACACACTGTATAAATACAGCATGCAAAAACACCATACGTAATCATGTTCATATGGATCAATGCTGCTACACAGGTTGGGATACAGTTTTTATGGCTTTGTTTTATTCTTATATTGTACCATTCAGGTGTCCGTGTGTCCAGATCTCAATCTTCTTTTTCTTATCATAAAGAAACTGGTTTTCTTGCTCCTTAAAATTTCAATAAATAGTGAATTACAAGAAGAATGTAACTGATTGCATTACTCATATATCTTTAATAAATGCTCATATCTGTTTTACATGACCGCACCCCCACCACCGCAAGCAAAGTTGGAGGTGCTCAGTTCTAGGATAGAGGTAAATACAGAAATGCGGATTTCTACATTTTATTTTATTTTTCAGACCTCACAAACCAACATTTGTTAAATATAGGGGACAAGTAAACATAATATTAAAATTCCTTCCCCTAAGACAAGCATTGACCGTGTCACTATGTGGCTTCAGTTGCGTTCCTCGCAATAGTTGGACATGTGCTCTGTGGCTTTAGAAAAGCTGTATTATTGTATAAATAGGGTACGGCATAAAATGCTGTAGCGCTTGTGCATGTCTCCATTTTGTATTAGCTGTCTGTGATGTCTCAGAGACACAGGACATCAAAGAAAGAACTTGGATCTCCAATCAGGACATTTTATTTGGTTAGAATTATATTCTAAGAGCAGGATTAACCATAAGGTGAGTTTAGGCAAACGCCTAGGGCCCAGTAGTTAGACAGAGACCCCAGATCCATGAATTTGCTTTGCCCTATGCACCATCCATATTTCAAGAATGAAACAAGGGCTCAAATCATAACTTGTGCCCCGTTTAATCCTATACCGGTTATGATTGCAATTGATGATTGTAACTTCAGTAAAACTATTCAAAAGCATTCAGTATGTCTCAACTGTGCAAAGGAAAACAAGAAATAGGGCATATTTATCCTAAAACGAAATCCTCCAGGGGTCCCACTAAAATAAAAATAAAAAGACGAACAAAAGAAAGACGAAAATAATGTTTTTTGTAAATACATCATTTGCTTTATGGGCATTAAACCCCATTAGATGAATAATTTTATCTAAATATAAGTTACATATACACTTCAACTAACTCCCTTAATATATCTCCGACTGCTTGTTCTGACACATTCCTTCATTTATATGTAACTTCTAACTTACCCTAAAGCTCATATTACTTTCTCTTATAACTAATTCTACAGCTTTAAGAGGGTGAAGAAAGATCTGTATTATTTAATCTATTGCTAACATAATGTCACCACTCACCATATATTAGAGTTCTATTTCCACAATCTATGTATGTATCTGTTATTTGATTCGTTGTTAAGGCTGATGCGGGTAGTGTTCCTTTTAAAGTCACATTTCTAAACAAATAGTAAATAGTCCTGCACGCAAACAAGTTGTTAAAGAAAATGTAAGTCCTTTATTAGAGTAAATGTTGCCCGGAGAGATGACACTCTAAATTCACAGGCTTGGTCAAGATGAGGCACAGGAGGGGGGCCCAGCTAGCAGCTCAGTGTCTTACTTGCGGTGCTGAGAATTTTATATAGCCCGCTGTTGCTGTTTTTGCATATAAACTGCCATCAGACGCTCCGAAGGCTGCAATCCGGCAAGGCGTGATGACATCACAGTGAGGTCCGGAGAAAATCGAATGGTGGACGTTTTTTTGTTTGTTTTTTTAAAGTAGAATGGGAGAGACTCTAGGCCCAAATCAATATTCCACTATACACTGTAATGAGCAAGATTACATTTCAGTGTAAGATAAAAGGCTACAGTTCTCACTTTGAACAGAGACACACCGTGCTCGTTTCCTAATAGTGTGCGGGGGAAGAACGCAGGTACAGGAGCAAGATGATAATGCACAGAGTTGCGAGCGCTGAACTTGTTATGTTGAAGGCTCGAGCTGTCTTTGCATCTTCTACAGCCCCAGTGAGATCATTCAACAGCTTTTTATCACGGACCTGAGGGAAGGAAAAAGAGCATTACCTATGATCGGTGGTGGATGGAAAAAATATAAAATTCTGACATAACTGAGAACTATTCATTTAAAAACCAAAAATGCAAATTTTTAACTTACACTGATTCTATATGGAGGTCAACTAACAGAAGCCAAGCTGAATATCCAACCAGGTAGAGACGTACCTAGCGTATCTGGTGCTATAGGAGCATTGTCTGTTCCTATCCTTCAGAATTTTACCTTTTTGGTGTTTCCCCAGTGTGGCTTTTCTGACAATTCTCACTACCTTGTGTATATCTCTAGACCCCCCACATTCCATTATGACTCTCATAGCCGCTATCACCCCCTTGGGTATCTCTCCTGACAGTCTTCACTTCCTTGTGCATTTCACCTGATCCTTCTTACCCACTGGTGTCTCTCCCGCCAATCCTTATCCACTTGTATGTTTATCCAACTCTATCCCTGCCCTCCTCAATATATCACCTATCTATACTGTAGTGAGGCCGAGAGGAATCATCTCTGAGGAAGATCATGTTCCTCTGCCCCTTCTGTCAGTACAGCTCAGATCACAGAATCCAGCATAGTGATCAATTTCAGCCACATTCATACCAAACAAGACAGTTCAGCCTACAGTGTTTCTTCAGCTTGGTGACATTTTGAAAGACTGAGCTGTCTGTTTCTGCCACAAATAGTGACTCAACGCATCACACTGGATTTGTTAAGCATTGCAGTTTTATTGACTGCATTACGCAATAGCTAAATCTCAGATTAGTGGTCATCATGAAGGACTGATCTGCCAGACACAGCTTCTCAGACCATACTTTCTCTCATCCTTATTCTCCCTCTATGATTTCCTTATATGTGCATCTGTAAATTAATATGTGGTGGTCTCGAGAAAAGTGGGGAAATAACAGCGCAGCTCCATAACCTACGAACAACCTTTTGTTATAAAGCCATGTTTTTACATTTAATTCTCCATTTATTCCATTACACTAGCAGTATAATAGAAAACGCCTCTTAAACAGATTTATGATTTAATCATTTTAAACTTGCCTTAAAAGTTTTACTTTCAGAATCCCTTTTATTATTATTATTTTTAATATTTTATTATTTATATATCGCCAGCAAATTCCATAGCTGTAATAAAGGTATCCGAGTCCATCCAAGGAACTGAAAAGTATGACACCATTTGCCTCCTGGACATGTTTTCCCACCTAGAAACTTATATTATACTCAGTCTGTTTGTTTTAAGTGGACAAAAAAAAGAATAACACAAACAATGGGTACAATAAAGATACCTTTGCCTGAGCCTCGTTTGCAGCAAATCCTGAAGCTACATCTCCCACCAGTGGCATCAACTGATAAGTATTTGAGCTGTCTCATCCAATCGCGATTCTCCTAAATGTGTCTATGGGATAACTGTATAATATCCCTGCTGGTTCCATTCACTGGTTGAACAGTTTAATTCATTCAACATTCCTTTTTATCAGAATTCACTGCCATACACTTGGCCATAGAAACTCATGTCTATTCCTCAAAGAGGGACACAAAACTGCATTTGTTTTTGCTAAAAACAAACATTTTGTTATCAGTTCAAAATTAGAATCTAGATCATTTTGCATAATGCTGTATAGATCCTTTTGTGCAAATTATATGTTCAGTATGTTCCTTCAAACATTCTAGGCCAACCATGTACATATTGTAGTAAGAGAACTTATCATTTGATACCTTATTTTGTTTGTTCCCAATATATTTAACTTTATAGAATTTGTGTCATTTTCTACATGTTCTACAATTTCATAGGCTCAACAGTTCTTCAAGTTTGACTCACCTTGAGTGAATAGGCCAGGGCAATGAAGCCTAGACAGCAGAAATTCAGGTAGACAAAGTTGAAGATGGACCACAGGTAATAGTCGTTTACCTCTGTTGTCTCCGGGGAAATCTCAATTACAGTAACTGGGGGTCCGCTTTTTCCTGTTGTTGTGTAAACTGTGCCAGGTGGTGGTTTTATTTTCTTTTTGTCCCACTCCAAAGTATGTTTACATTGTGCAGGTGGCCATGTGCCCTCTCCCTTGTATGCTTTGTTATCCATAATTTTGCCACGGAATGAGCAAGGCTACTTTTAGCACCACCCAGGAGGAGCCAAACCCTGCCCACTCAGAGCACACAACAGCTGCAAAGGAGAAGGAAGAGGAAATTTAACTAGATAATGAAGGTTGTTTGAACTGTATGTCTAAGATTATGGCAAAACAATTGTTTGAAATGATATATTAGGCACCATAATTAGATATACAGCCGAAGGAAAATGCATGATTTGAGGAATTAGAACATTGAACAAAAATAAACATAATGATAGTGATGTAACTGAAAAGCAGGTTGGTGACAAATTAAAACAAAATGATTCCATACAAAATACATTTTTAAAAGTATACGATTTAACTCAAAGCTATGCTGCTCAAAACAGTAAAAACCCAATTGAAATTCAAAAGAGCTACTAGTCCAAACTGTTAAATTCTCTCTAATTAATTCGTATCTCTCTTGGTCAACTATTCCTCCTCTCCCTGTTCTGCAGTGTGATTCTGCAGCACACACAGCCATTCATTGCGTTGCCTTGGGTATTGCAGGCAAAAAAAAACCAGTCAATAAGCCTGCAGCGCACTGCATCATACATCTCACAGTGCAATGCTCTGCAGCTAGTATTAAGCACAAAGTATTGGACACGGCAAGGCATGCTGCATGCATCACAGACATGACAAGCTATAGCATCCCACTGCACTGCACACCCAGGGTGCCTCACTGCATTTAACAACTGAGTGCTACACTGCATGCAGAACAGACATGACAAGCTATAGCATCCCACTGCACTGCACACCCAGGGTGCCTCACTGCATTTAACAACTGAGTGCTACACTGCATGCAGAACAGACATGACAAGCTATAGCATCCCACTGCACTGCACACCCAGGGTGCCTCACTGCATTTAACAACTGAGTGCTACACTGCATGCAGAACAAACATGACAAGCTATAGCATCCCACTGCACTGCACACCCAGGGTGCCTCACTGCATTTAACAACTGAGTGCTACACTGCATGCAGAACAGACATGACAAGCTATAGCATCCCACTGCACTGCACACCCAGGGTGCCTCACTGCATTTAACAACTGAGTGCTACACTGCACGCAGAACACTTGAGGTCATCACAACACACAGTGAAATCAGAGCATCTCTCTGGATCCAGCAACAGCACCAAAGTATTAGCGATTTACTATATAATCGTACTTAGAGATCCACAGCCATCTATCTGCAACCCTTCCAGAGCCCTGCACTGCATTAACAAGAAAGCTGCAGACTATTGCTCTATGTGATCCATTGTCCCTCTGACCCCTGCAGACCATCACATCACATCCAGCTTTCTGCAGAAATCCGCAAAGCTTACTCATTCTATTGCAGCAGCCCTCCCCATCCCAGTCTGTAACAAACCCTCTCTCGTTACTTGCCACTCACCTCAAGGGGCTCTTCCTTTCGTTAGGACCCCTCTGTTCTCCTGTCTGTGACCAGTGGGGATCCCCAGGGAGAGAGAGCAGAGAGCAGCTGCATTTCTTAAAACAAGAGACTGTCTGTATCAGGCAGACAGACCATAGGAAAACAGGAGGGAGGAGAGAAGAAGAGGCAGACAGAGATTGGAGGAGTGAAAGAGGGAAATAATAGGAGGGACATGCAAGGACATTAAAAGAAGAGAATCAATAATTGTTACCCTCAGGGAGAGCTACAGATACTGCAGACAAGTTAGTGATGGGAGGATACAGAGTATTAGAATGTACAATACAATGTCAGTGATAGGGGGATACAGATTATTAGAATGTACAATACAATGTCAGTGACAGGAAGATAAAGATTACTAGAATGTACAATATAATGATAGGAGGATACAGATTATTAGAATGTACAATATAATGATAGGAGGATGCAGATTACTAGAATGTACAATACAATGTCAGTTATAGCAGGATACAGATTATTAGAAGGTACAATACAATGTCAGTATTAGGTACATACAGATTATTAGAATATACAATAAAATGTCAGTGATAGGAAGATACGGATTATTAGAATGTACAATACAATATCAGTGATATCAGGATACAGATTACTAGAATGTACAATACAATATCAGTGATATAAGGATACAGATTACTAGAATGTACAATACAATGTCAGTTATAGCAGGATACAGATTATTAGAAGGTACAATATAATGTCAGTGATAGGAGGATGCATATTATTAGAATGTACAATACAATGTCAGTGATAGGAGGACACGGATTATTAGAATGTACAATAAAATGTCAGTGATAGGAAGATACAGATTATTAGAATGTACAATACAATGTCAGTAATAGGAGGATATGGATTATTAGAATGTATAATAAAATGTCAGGGATAGGAAGATACAGATTATTAGAATGTATAATAAAATGTCAGTGATAGGAGGATACAGATTATTAGAATGTACAATACAATGTCAGTGATAGGAGGATACAGATTATTAGAATGTACAATAAAATGTCAGTGATAGGAGGATGCAGATTATTAGAATGTACAATACAATGTCAGTTATGGGAAAATACAGATTATTAGATAAAATATCAGTGATAGGAGGATACAGATTATTAGAATGTACAATACAATGTCAGTATTAGGTAGATACAGATTATTAAAATGTACAATAAAATGTCAGTGATAGGAAGATACGTATTATTAGAATGTACAATACAATATCAGTGATATCAGGATACAGATTACTAGAATGTACAATACAATGTCAGTTATAGCAGGATACAGATTATTAGAAGGTACAATATAATGTCAGTGATAGGAGGATACAGATTATTAGAATATACAATAAAATGTCAGTGATAGGTATTAGGTACATACAGATTATTAGAATGTACAATAAAATGTCATTGATAAGAAGATACAGATTACTAGAATGTACAATACAATGTCAGTTATAGCAGGATACAGATTATTAGAAGGTACAATATAATGTCAGTGATAGGAGGATACAGATTATTAGAATATACAATAAAATGTCAGTGATAGGAAGATACGGATTATTAGAATGTACAATACAATATCAGTGATATCAGGATACAGATTACTAGAATGTACAATACAATATCAGTGATATCAGGATACAGATTACTAGAATGTACAATACAATGTCAGTTATAGCAGGATACAGATTATTAGAAGGTACAATATAATGTCAGTGATAGGAGGATACAGATTATTAGAATATACAATAAAATGTCAGTGATAGGAAGATACGGATTATTAGAATGTACAATACAATATCAGTGATATCAGGATACAGATTACTAGAATGTACAATACAATATCAGTGATATCAGGATACAGATTACTAGAATGTACAATACAATGTCAGTTATAGCAGGATACAGATTATTAGAAGGTACAATATAATGTCAGTGATAGGAGGATACAGATTATTAGAATATACAATAAAATGTCGGTGATAGGAGGATACAGATTATTAGTATGTACAATACAATATCAGTTATGGGAAGATACAGATTATACGAATATACAATAAAATTTCAGTGATAGGAAGATACAGAGTATTAGAATGTACAATAAAATGTCAGTGATAGGAAGATACAGATTATAAAAATGTATAATAAAATGTCAGTGATAGGAGGATACAGATTATTAGAATGTACAATACAATGTCAGTAATAGGAGAATACGGATTATTAGAATGTACAATACAATGTCAGTGATAGGAGGATACAGATTATTAAAATGTACGATAAAATGTCAGTGATAGGAAGATGCAGATTATAAGAATGTATAATAAAATGTCAGTGATAAGAGGATACAGATTATTAGAATGTACAATACAATGTCAGTGATAGGAAGATACGGATTATTAGAATGTACAATACAATGTCAGTGATAGGAAGATACATAGTATTAGAATGTACAATACAATGTCAGTCATAGGAGGATACAGATTACTAGAATGTACAATATAATGTCAGTATTAGGAAGATACAGATTATTAGAATGTACAATAAAATGTTGGTTATGGGAAGATACAGATTATTAGAATATACAATAAAATATCAGTGATAGGAGGATGCAGATCATTAGAATGTACAATACAATGTCAGTGATAGGAGGATACGGATTATTAGAATGTACAATATAATGATAGGAGGATACAGATTATTAGAATATACAATAAAATGTCAGTGATAGGAGGATACAGATTATTAGAATGTACATTACAATGTCAGTTATGGGAAGATACAGATTATTAGATAAAATGTCAGTGATATGAGGATACAGAGTATTAGAATGTACAATAAAATGTCAGTGATAGGAAGATACAGATTATTAGAATGTACAAAACAATGTCAGTGATAGGAGGATACAGATTATTAGAATGTACAAAACAATGTCAGTAATAGAAGGATACAGATTATTAGAATGTACAATACAGTGTCAGTGATAGGAGGATACAGATTATTAGGTTGAACAATACAATGTCAGTGATAGGAGGATGCAGATTATTAGAATGTACAATAAAATGTCAGGGATAGGAGGATACAGATTATTAGATTGTACAATAAAATGTCAGGGATATGAGGATACAGATTATTAGATTGTACAATAAATTGTCAGTAATAGGAGTATACATATTATTAGAATGTACAATACAATGTCAGTGATTGGAGGATTCATATTTTTAGAATGTACACTACATTGTCAGTGATAGGAGGATACATATTATTAGAATGTACAATACAATGTCAGTGATTGGAGGATACATATTATTAGAATGTACAGTACAATGTCAGTGATAGGAGGATATATATTATTAGAAGGTACAATAAAATGTCAGTGATAGGAGGATAAAGATTATAAGAATATACAATACAATGTCAGTGATAGGAGGATACAGATTATTAGAATATACATTAAAATGTCAGTAATAGGAAGATACGGATTCTTAGAATGTACAATACAATGTCAGTGATCGGAAGATACAGATTAATAGAATGTACAATATAATTTCAATGATAGGAGAATACAGATTATTAGAATGTACAATACAACGTTAGTGATAGGAGGATACAGATTATTAGAATGTACAATACAATGTCAGTAATAGGAAGATATGGATTATTAGAATGTACAATGCAATGTCAGTGATAGGAAGATACAGAGTATTAGAATGTACAATACAATATCAGTGATAGAAGGATACAGATTATTAGAATTTACAATACAATGTCAGTGATAGGAAGATACAGAGTATTAGAATGTACAATACAATATCAGTGATAGAAGGATACAGATTATTAGAATTTACAATACAATGTCAGTGATAGGAGGATACAGATTATTAGAATGTACAAAACAATGTCAGTAATAGAAGGATACAGATTATTAGAATGTACAATACAGTGTCAGTGATAGGAGGATACAGATTATTAGGTTGAACAATACAATGTCAGTGATAGGAGGATGCAGATTATTAGAATGTACAATAAAATGTCAGGGATAGGAGGATACAGATTATTAGATTGTACAATAAATTGTCAGTAATAGGGTTATACATATTATTAGAATGTACAATACAATGTCAGTGATTGGAGGATACATATTTTTAGAATGTACACTACATTGTCAGTGATAGGAGGATACATATTATTAGAATGTACAATACAATGTCAGTGATTGGAGGATACATATTTTTAGAATGTACACTACATTGTCAGTGATAGGAGGATGCAGATTATTAGAATGTACAATAAAATGTCAGGGATAGGAGGATACAGATTATTAGATTGTACAATAAATTGTCAGTGATAGGAGTATACATATTATTAGAATGTACAATACAATGTCAGTGATTGGAGGATACATATTATTAGAATGTACAGTACAATGTCAGTGATAGGAGGATACATATTATTAGAATGTACAGTACAATGTCAGTGATTGGAGGATACATATTATTAAAATGTACAATACAATGTCAGTGATAGGAGGATACATACTAGAATGTACAATACATTGTCAGTGATAGGAGGGTACAGATTATTAGAATGTGCAATAAAATATCAGCCTCTAGCATTTTAGGAGTGTGCGAACTAACGATACAGGGGTTTGTTACACACTCCAAGCACCATAGCAACTACAGCACTCTTCAGGTGGAGATTTATTTATATTATATTTATATTGTAAAAATATATTCTTATTTCCTATAAATGTTTTTATTTACCCCCTAACGCCATTAAGGCGTTCTATGCCATCCCGCATTAAAAGGGCTTTAAAGCCGTTGCGGCGGCATAGAACGCCGTAACGGCTTGCAGCCCCTGGAGGTCCGGTGAATTTATCGCGATCCTCTTCTGGAGGGTTGCCTGGCAGCCCAGGTAGCCCTCCCCCGGCAAATGAGGCCCCCTATAGCTGGCTGTGGATCTGCCAGCAGGGGGACTGTCTGAAATGTAAGACAGTCCCCCTGCTGGTAGGAAATGAAAAAAAAAATATTATTAGACATGTTTTAAAATAAAAAAAAAATGTATTTATATATATATAATATATGTATATATATTATATATATAATATATGTACATATTATATATATGTAACGTCATAAAAAGTGTATTTTAATATTAATATAAGTACATATATTAGTATTAAAATACTCTTAGAATAATGTTACATATATATAATATGTATATATATTATATATAATAGATATATACACGTATATTATATATATGCGTATAATTACAATAATAAATAAATAAATAAAATATTGAAACAAAATTTAATATAAATTATATATTCATATGTAATTTCATTCTAACTGTATTTTGTTATTACTATATATATATATATGTGATTTGATTAATTAAAATTTGATTGACATGCCTGACAACACAGGGAGAAAGTGCAGAGAATTAAATTCGCAAGCACTATATTTGACTCTGTAACTCTCCAAGACACCATAAAACCTGTACATAGGGAGACTTAGCTGAACTCAAATATTAGTGTTTCAAACTGGTAAATTGTATTACAACGATGATATTTTAAGTAAAAGTTATGTTTTTTGCATTTTTTTACAAAGGAATGGCACTTGTATGGACTATATTATTGTTGTAATATGTTTTACTGTTTTAAAACACTAATATTTGTGTTTAGTGAAGTCTCCCGAGAATAACAGTACCCCCCATGTACAGGTTTTATTGTGTTTTGGAAAGTTAGAGAGTCACATATAAGGCTTGCATTTCATTTTTTTGACATTGAAATTTGCCAGATTGGTTATGTTGCCTTTGAGAGCGTATGGTAGCCCAGGAATGAGAATTACCCCCATGATGGCATACCATTTGCAAAAGTAGACAACCCAAGGTATTGCAAGTGGGGTATGTCCAGTCTTTCTTAGTAGCCACTTAGTCACAAACACTGGCCAAATATTAGTTTTTTGCTTTTTTCACACAAAAACAAATATGAACGCTAACTTTGGCCAGTGCTTGTGACTAAGTGGCTACTAAAAAAAGACTAAACATACCCCACTTTCAATACCTTGGGTTGTCTACTTTAGCAAATGGTATGCCATTATGGGGGTAATTCTCATTCCTGGGCTACCACACTGTCTCAAAGGTAACATTACTATTCTGGCAAATTTCAATTTGAAAATGGAACGTTCTATATTTGACCCTGTAACTTTCCAAAACACCATAAAACCTGTTAATGGGGGGTACTGTTGTACTCGTGAGATATCGCTGATTACAAATATGTGCATTTTTTTGCAGTAAAACCTAACAGTATTATGACATTAACAGCTAAAATGTCAGACGGAAATACAAATTTAAAAAAAAAAAATCTTATTTTCTCACATTTTCTTAAATTTTATTCAGAATAAATTATGTTCCATATATAAATAGTTAATGATAAATTAAAGCCCTGTTTCTCCTGAACAAAATGATATATAATAAGTGTGGGTGCACTTAATGCGACAGCGGTGAATTACGGTTGAACAGACATATAGCGCAAATTCCAGTTTTTTTTACGTTTTGTTTTGTCAGAACGTGCACTATTGACTACGTCCTGAAGGGGTTAATATGTTTTATTATTATTATTATTATTATTATTATTATTTCTTTGTTTTTGTTTTTTGTAGTAAGATTAGTTAGGCTATCACTGCCAGCCAAGTTGGCAGACCAAAATATTTATTGATTGTACATAAGTGTCAAGTTGGCTAGAGAGCTGTTGGGACAGAAGTGGCCATTTTATTTTACTAAGCCAATCCCGAACAAGAGCAAAAACAAAATTGTTTCCAAACACTCTTGGCAGCATAACAATAATAATAATAATAATAATAATAATAATAATAATAATAATGTATAATAACAATAATAACAATAATAATAATGTATAATAATAATGTATAATAATAACAATAATAATAATAATGTATAATAAAATAGATAATAATAATGTATAATAACAATAATAATAATAATAATAATAATAATAATGTATTATAATAATAATAACAACAATAATAATGTATAATAACAATAATAATAATGTATAATAATGATAATATAAATAATAATAATAATGTATAATAATAATAACAATAATAATAATAATGTATAATAAAATAGATAATAATAATGTATAACAACAATAATAATAATAACAATAATAATGTATAATAATAATATAGATAATAATAATAATAATGTATAATAATAATAATAATGTATAATAATAATAATAATAATAATAATGTATAATAATAATAATAACAACAATAATAATGTATAATAACCATATAGATAATAATAATAATGTATAATAACAATAATAATAATAATAATAATGTATAATAATAATATAGATAATAATAATAATGTATAATAACAATAATAATAATAATAATGTATAATAATAACAATAATAATAATAATGTATAATAAAATAGATAATAATAATGTGTAACAACAATAATAATAATAATAACAATAATAATAATGTATAATAATAATAATAATAATAATAATAATGTATAATACGCCTTTAGTGCTTATATTGCCCTTTGAAGTAAAAATTCAATAATTTAAAAACATTCAATAATAACATAACCCAAACCCAGCATTAACCCTTACATTACCATAACCCAAACAGAGTATTAACTCTTACATTACCATAACCCAAACCCAGCATTAACCCTCACATTACCATAACCCAAACACAGCATTAACCCTTACATTACCATAACCCAAATCCAGCATAACTCTTACATTACCATTACCCCAACACAGTATTAACCCTTACATTACCATAACCCAAATCCAGCATAACCCTTACATTACCCTAACACAGCATTAACCCTTACATTACCATAACCCAAATCCAGCATTAACCATTACATTACCATAACCCAAACACAGTATTAACCCTTACATTACCATTACCCAAACACAGTATTAACCCTTACATTACCATAACCCAAACACAGTATTAACCCTAACATTACCATAACCCAAACATAGTATTAACTGTTACATTACCATAATCCAAACACAGCTTTAACCTTTACATTACCATAACCAAAACCCAGCATTAGCCCTTACATTACCATAACCCAAACACAGTATTAACCCTTACATTACCATAACCCAAACACAGTATTAACCCTAACATTACCATAACCCAAACATAGTATTAACTGTTACATTACCATAATCCAAACACAGCTTTAACCCTTACATTACCATAACCCAAATCCAGCATTAACCATTACATTACCATAACCCAAACAGAGTATTAACCCTTACATTACCATAACCCAAACCCAGCATTAACCCTTACATTACCATAACCCAAATCCAGCATTAACCATTACATTACCATAACCCAAACCCAGCATTAACCCTTACATTACCATAACCCAAACACAGTATTAACCCTAACATTACCATAACCCAAACATAGTATTAACTGTTACATTACCATAATCCAAACACAGCTTTAACCCTTACATTACCATAACCCAAACCCAGCATTAACCCTTACATTACCATAACCCAAACACAGCATTAACCCTTACATTACCATAACCCAAACACAGTATTAACCCTTACATTACCATAACCCAAATCCAGCATTAACCATTACATTACCATAACCCAGAGTATTAACCCTTACATTACCATAACCCAAACCCAGCATTAACCCTTACATTACCATAACCCAAATCCAGCATTAACCATTACATTACCATAACCCAAACCCAGTATTAACCCTTACATTACCATTACCCAAACACAGTATTAACCCTTACATTACCATAACCCAAACACAGTATTAACCCTAACATTACCATAACCCAAACATAGTATTAACTGTTACATTACCATAATCCAAACACAGCTTTAACCCTTACATTACCATAACCCAAACCCAGCATTAACCCTTACATTACCATAACCCAAACACAACATTAACCCTTACATTACCATAACCCAAACACAGTATTAACCTTTACATTACCATAACCCAAATCCAGCATTAACCATTACATTGCCATAACCCAAACAGAGTATTAACCCTTACATTACCATAACCCAAACCCAGCATTAACCCTTACATTGCCATAACCCAAACCCAGCATTAACCCTAACATTAACATAACCCAAACCCAGCATTAACCATTACATTACCATAACCCAAACAGAGTATTAACCCTTACATTACCATAACCCAAACCCAGCATTAACCCTTACATTACCATAACCCAAATCCAGCATTAACCATTACATTACCATAACCCAAACCCAGCATTAACCCTAACATTACCATAACCCAAACACAGCATTAACCATTACATTACCATAACCCAAATCCAGCATAACTCTTACATTACCATTACCCCAACACAGTATTAACCCTTAAATTACCATAACCCAAATCCAGCATAACTCTTACATTACCATTACCCTAACACAGCATTAACCCTTACATTACCATAACCCAAACACAGTATTAACCCTTACATTACCATTACCCTTAAATCTAACCCTAACCCCAACCCTAAGGAGACTCTCTGCCATCTGTGACTGCCATCTACTGGCTGCTTTCATAGTTACATTTAATTATGAATGGAGCCTTCTTCCCAGCTGATTACACTGTGATGGGTGCTGGATAGCTGGCAAATCCCAGCACCAATCACAATTGTTTGGGGAGAGGCAGGGAGATCCTGCCAGTGTCTGTTCAGATGCTGGGGGTCTCTCTGAAGCAGCCTGCAGCCAAGAAAGCCCAGATGCAATTTTATGAATGAATAGGTCAGGGCTCTAAGCAGCCTTGACTTACAGCTCTGCATGGAGATCATCTGAGTGGCATTGAATTGGATATCGCATGCGCAGAAAAACACCACAATCCTCAATCAAATGCAGCTATCAGCAGGATTTGATACCCACAGCGAGTTTTACTCAGTCTGGTCTTGAAAACAGCCACTAGAATTACATCTTAAAAGTTTCTAACTAAAACTGCAACGCTTTACATTGCAGGGACCACTGTTCCTTTAAAATGCCACAGGCAGGGTTGGCGCCGTCATTTGGCAAACTAGGCATTCGCCTAGGACGCCGGCCTGCTGAGGGCGCCCACTGAGATATTACCTGTGTGGAGAAGTTCCCTCAACTCGTTCGCTTGTTCTCCCTCCCTGCTATTTCACCCACTGGACTCATTTTATTTAATGCTGTTTCATTCGTCTGTTTCATTTCGTTTAATTTTCGCTGTTCGGAAAAATATTTGTTTTACCGAACGAAGACCACCCTGGGTACCAATTATAACATGGAACTCTGTGTAACTGCCTGAAAACCGCAAGTTAATTGAATGCTCCTAGGTGGCCATTTCGGCATACGAACGCACGTGGTGAGAACAATGGATGGCGGCCATCTTAAACTCCCGAACGCGGTCAGCAGGACTTGGTCGTCGAGTGCCTGGAACTGTTTTCGGCATGGCACTCGCACGAACACCCGGTCTCCATGGAAGTTCCAGACGAACTACTTCCACACATAGCAGAAGAACGGCGTTCGGGAGTTTCAAACAGACGAATCACCTTTACTATATCTATGGCGGTTTTCGTGAAAATCCATCTGAACGGAGATCGGCTCTTGCTACTGATTCTGTGGAACTCTGAGTCGGATACAACCTCGTGGCGAGCCGGTCAAACTTCCACATGGTGTTACTCAAAAACTACCAAACGGATTTTCGTGATATTTGGATTTGTTGCTCACATCATCCTCAGCTTATCCTTTTAATATAGTTTTGTCATGTATAAAGTATATTTCTAAAAATTGTAAAAATTGCTAACTTTTCTGGCCAGTAGATAATTGAGTTTAGTATGTTGCTTAAACTCAATTATCTAGCCTGGCCCAGAGGAGGAGTTTTGTGTTGCATAAAAAGGAGTTTTGTTTCCATTAAATCAGTTTTGTTCCAGCATTAAGCCTTGGCTCATGTGTGGATTATTTGGCGATACCAGCGATTTATTACTCTATGGATTACTTGGCGATTTTATTTTCTGGGAATAAGGGAATGATTGACGGGAGCTCAGGATTAGACCGTCACAACCTGGTGGGCTCCCGCTGTGTTGGGCTGCAGCGCTTGGCGAGCGGCTCTTGCGCCAGGTCGATCCTCAAGACGCCTTAAAGTGGGGGCGCCCAGAGGAGCCCTGTCACAGGGGCCCAGAAGGTGGCCATGTCGCTACCTCAGGTCGCACCCTAAGTTGTCCTTCAGTATGGCAGAGCAGGCACCTTCTTACCTTGATGACAGGTGCCTGCTCTGCCATTAAATGTTGGTGACTGGAGGAGCCAGGAGAAGGCAGGCGGCGAGGGAGGCTGTTCTTGCAGCCTTTCATACCCCCCTTGCGTACCCTCTGTGATGCCGGGAGCCGGAATATGACGTCATTCCGGCCCCGGCATACTAAAGAGTGGGCTGGAGGAATGAGGAGCTGTTCCACACTGGACCCCAGGGAGGTGAGTGTTTGACTGTCTGTGACTGTGTGTGTCTGTCAGTGAGTGTCTGCCTGTGTGTGTGTCAGTCAGTGAGTGTGTGTCACGGTAGTTTACCCCAACACGCAAGCTTTAGTCCAACAATCGACAGATAGAGCAGATACGTCTTACCGAACCTTAGAATGGCCAGACTCGCCGTATAGTAGAGAATAGATAGAGTCAAGAACGAGCCGAGGTCAAGGGAACAAAGAGACTGCGAGAACAAAAACTAGCCAGGGTCTGGTACACAGTAGTCAGTAAGCCGGCAAACAAGACAAAACAGGAATAGAGAGATAAACGGAGTCAGATACAAAGCCAAGGTCAAGCACGAAAATCACAACTGAACACAACAAGCGCTAAAGAGAACTGAAACAGAAACCACGATAGGGCAGGGAGTTAAGGGAGAGGTAAGTATAAATACCCTAACCTTTACTTTGATTGGCCCCTGTCATATCCACGCCCCCAAAATGTGAGTGTATGGGGTATGTGGGATGACAGGGGCCAATGGGAGACCGTTGTATTTTTTGGCTCCCACTGCCCCTTTAAGAGCATGCCCGAGACGTGCAGCAAGCTCTTAGAGCTAGGCGGGACACGTGACCGCATCTCGCGGTCCGTGCCCGCCTTCATCCGAGAGCCGCGCGCGTTGGGAAGAGAGGACCTCGGCCGGCCCCCGGGTAAGGTAAGTACCGCTACAGTGTGTCAGTGTGTGTGCGTGTGTGTCAGTAAGTGAGTGTGTATGTGTCTGTCAGTGAGTGAGTGTATGTCTGTCAATGAGTGTTTGTGTGTGTGTCTGTCATTGAGTGAGTGTATTTGTGTGTGTGTGTGTCTGTCAGTGAGTGAGTGTATGTCTGTCAATGAGTGTTTGTGTGTGTGTCTGTCATTGAGTGAGTGTATTTCTGTCAGTGTGTGTGTGTGTCTGTCAGTGAGTGTGCGTTGTAGCGGAGACCTGGTATTTCACAAGTTAACTCCACTAAGATCCCAGTGAGGCTCAGGAACAAGTGATGAAAAATCCCATAAAGTAATAATTCCAGCAAGCAAGGTAATCCAAGAATATCCCCATACAGATCCCAATGACTGGACGACACACAGCATCAGGAGCAGAACTGACGTTTATTCCACACAACCTCCTTTTAAGCATTTCTCCCATGCAAGGGAGGGATTCAGATTCATAAAGACAGTACCCAATGGAATAGCAGTTACCTCCCACACATCTCCTCCTCTTAGTATGACACCTAATCTCATTATACAGGTTATAGTTTTCCCCAAGATCTGGATGTACCCCAAGATTAGCAGGTACACCAATACTTTGGGTACCCCCTGATAGCCCTGATCTGGGTGACCAACATATCCAAAATTCACCCAGATTAGACCAGGGTTCGGGAGTTAGGTGGAGGGTGAAATTTGACCGACTGCACACGAGGTGGTATCCGAAAAGGGTTCCATGCGTTTTGGCCCTGCGGTCGGTCTCCATTTGGGAGGTAAAAGACACATAAAAACCTGCCATCCACTAATATAGTTACATTCGCATGACTTCCCTCATTTGGTACTCTAAACTCACCGAACGGGTGGCTGATTCGTCTTCCCGTTCGTGAGTTATGGAGCTCTGGAGGTGTCAGCGGTGTTCGGGTAATCGAGTGTCCGATTTGAGTTCTAGACACTCGACGACCAAACACCGCTGAGCCTTTCGTGCGTAAGACGGCCCCCACCACGTGTTCACATGCCGAATGGCGGCCACCCAGATACATCCATAAACCACCTATTAGTCTGCGGTTAGCAAGTACTTTACAGCTTAACGAGGGACACGCTTCACTCTGGGGTGGTCTATTAGTTCGGTAGTTTCCATTCGTATGAAATACAGATGGAAACTACCGAACAATCATACGAATGCTACTTACAATTAAATACAAAGCAGAAACAACACACGAATTGCAGGATTCTCATAGTCTTTAAGGACAGCCACAGTACCATCCGCTACACTGCTCCCCCTTGCCCACAAGCCGGCATACACAGTCTGATCCAACACGGATCGGCTTGGGGATGTCCGGGGATGCTCACAGATCATTTCTCCAGGTCGGTTTGTCTTGACAACCCGTCAGCGTTCCCATTCTGTTTGCCCGGGCGGTACTGCTCCAGCGCAGCAGCCTGGCGTTGTCTCCAGCCACCCGGTTCAGCCATACTAACGGGTTGTGATCCGTGAGCAAGGAAAAGGGCTGTCCATACAAATACGGCTGCAATTTCTTCAGGGCCCACACCACAGCCAGGCATTCCTTCTCGATGGCGGCGTAGCTTACTTCTCTGGGTAACAACTTGCAACTGATGTAAACTACAGGATGTTCTCCTCCATCGGCACCGACTTGGCTCAGTACTGCTCCACATCCAAACATAGAAGCGTCTGTGTGAACAAGAAAACGATTGGATTGGGAGTTGCCGGGGTCCAGGTTACTTGGTGGGGAAGGTTCTTACGGGTCAGGTCGGTCAGGGGTCTGGCCAGGGCGCTATAGTTAGGGACGAATTTCCGATAATACCCTGCTGTTCCTAAAAACGCCAACACCTGAGTCTTAGTCCTAGGGGTGGGCCATTGGGCTACGGCCTCTACTTTGGCTGGTTCTGGTTTTTGCTTCCCACAGCCTACCTGATGGCCCAGGTATTGTACCTCAGCCATCCCTATACTACATTTGGCTGGCTTCAGCGTTAGACCTGCTTCCCTAATTCTGTCTAGGACCGCTCCTATATGGGCCAAGTGCTCCTGCCAGGTATTTCTAAAGATGGCAATATCATATAGAAATGCACAGGTATAGTCTTGGAATCCATCCAGGAGGCGGTCTACCATCCGCTGAAAGTTAGCCGGGGTTTTTCATCCCAAACGGCATGACCTTAAATTGGTACAAGCCGAATGGGGTGACAAAGGCCGACTTAGGTATGGCGTCCGGGGCCAATACCCCTTACACAAGTCAATGGTAGAGAGGTAGTGGCCCCTGGCCATCCTATCCAGCAGTTCGTCTATCCTGGGCATGGGATAGGCATCCAACACAGTCTTCTCGTTCAGCCTCCGGTAGTCCACACAAAAACGGGTCGTACCATCCCGTTTTGGTACCAGGACTACCGGGGAAGCCCAGGGGGTGTCTGAGGGTTCAATCATCCCCAGCTGGAGCATCTCCTCGATCTCCTTGTGCATATTTTCCCGCACCGCTTCAGGGATGCGGTAGGGGGTCTGGCGCATGGGAAGTTGTCCTGGGGTTTCCACCCGGTGAGTGGCCAGAGGAGTGTATCCAGGTACATTAGAGAAGTAGTCTTAACAGTTGTTGTACCTCAATATGCTCCTGAGGGCTCAACCGGTCTCCCAGTGCAACCTCCCCTAAATCTTCTGATTACTGACCGTCTCCCAGTAGGTCTGGGAGAGGCAGGCTATCAAACTCATCCGAGTTGGGTGCACATATAGCGGTCACTTCCTCGGAGCGCTCCTGGTAGGGTTTCATCACGTTTACATGGAGCACATGGAGTTCCAACACAAGAGCCGATTGTAACGGATCGCCTGGCACCCCAACTGGGTACCTCCGTTAAAGGATGCTCCTAGCGCTTCCTGAGGACTCCAAGCACTGCAGCAGACACCACAACCACCGAACCGGAGAAGCATATGAATCCTCTCAAGCATATGAATGCTGTAGACAGTTGAATAGGAACCATACGAATAGGTTTACTCTCCTAGCAGTCAAACTGGAACAGCATACAATAAATCCTTCCCCCAATAATGAGACGACACTTCACTTTGAGGGTTAAAACAGGAACTCTCTGTACTGTCACATACAGTCTCTTTTATTCCCAATCCACAAACATAGTACAGCCCACAGGGCGTTACAAAACAACCAATCAATCCGTACAATACACCCAGACACTCCCACACAAAATCCTCCCCTCTGCAGGTGATATGATTACTGAACACAATGGGTAATCTCATTATCACCGGCAGAGGAATACAGTTTTTACACAATATTTATAACTTCCAAAATATACATGTCACAAACATAAAACATACATTTTCATAATCAATCCATTCAGGGGAACAACATATTAAAAAATGGCACGAATCAGACCAGGGGTTCAAAAGTTAAGCGAAAGTCCTTTGTGACTAAATGAAGCATGGCTTTCTGGCCCAAACCAGTTTCAGAGTCTTCTATCCTGGAGAGTAATTCAATTATCTCCCAGGACAGACACAAGACTCCATTAAGCACATGGTTGCAAAAAGACACAAAACACTTTAAAATACATAAAGTCACATTTACACATAACACACAGACATTTCACATATCCCCAGATAGCTGGGATCTGAGTGCACATTATTAGATGAATGACACTCAGATCACACAAATAAGCCTTTCTGCAGGGGAAATAAACAGTTTAACCTGCAGGGCCATAGTCCAAAGGGAGCAGGCGAGCAACCAGGCTTCTCCAGTTCACAGTGGCGAGGTTGGTTTCGCCACACTTCTCCCCTTTACCAACTAGACTAACGGGGTATCTGACCTCCTGCCGGTCAGTGCCCTGGTTAGTCCAGCAACCCACCCACAAAACAGAAACAGCAGTACAGCCCACCCACAATAACTGGTTACTACACCTGGGTAGAGGAGAACTTTGTCCATGTCCAGGTGCCTCACCACGACTGTGTGGGCAGCTGTTAGGCTGCCTTGGTGGGTTGCTGAGTGGGCAGAGACCAGCGGTACTCTGCCCTGATGCCAGTGCTACCACGGAAGTAGCCTGGTGGGAGCCTGGTTGTGGGAGGGAGGGACCGACTGTCTCCCCTCTGGATACACCGCTCTGTGGCTGGGGAACAGGACCGACTGTCCCTACCCCTTGTGCTGTAAGTGCAGAGACTACGGTTCCATCTGCACTGTTGGGGGTGTAACATCTCCCCTTGCTGGGTTAGGCTGCCGCTGGAGAGAGGGTGTAACAAGCTCCTCTCTCTGAACTGTAAACTGCCGCTGGGGAGAAGGGGTATCAGGCTCCTCTCCCTGACTCTCTCTCTGCTGGTGGAGAGGGGGACCAGCTGTCTCCCCTTTCATTATTTTGTCCTGTGGTTGGGGTGCGAGACTGACGGTCTCTGCTCCCTGCAGGACACTCTGCCGCTGGGGAGGAAGGACTGCACCTTCAGCTCCCTGGGGTACACACTGCAGCTGGGGAGGAAGGACGGCACCTTCAGCTCCCTGGGGTACACACTGCCGCTGGGGAGGAAGGACGGCACCTTCAGCTCCCTGGGGTACACACTGCCGCTGGGGAGGAAGGACTGCACCTTCAGCTCCCTGGGATACACACTGCAGCTGGGGAGGAAGGACGGCACCTTCAGCTCCCTGGGGTACACACTGCTGCTGGGGAGGAAGGACTGCACCTTCAGCTCCCTGGGATATACACTGCCGCTGTTGAGGAAGGACGGCACCTTCAGCTCCCTGGGGTACACACTGCTGCTGGGGAGGAAGGACGGCACCTTCAGCTCCCTGGGGTACACACTGCTGCTGGGGAGGAAGGACTGCACCTTCAGCTCCCTGGGATATACACTGCCGCTGGGGATCTGGGCTGACTGCCCAGCATCCCTGTAGGGCCTGTAGAGAGACCTCGGTCCCATCCCCACCTGCCAGCTGGGTGTCTTCCCAGGACAAGTCAATAAGGTCTTCCATCTCTGCGGCTGGTTGGGACATATGTGGTACAGTACCAAAGTCTCCTGATAACAGGCTTGGTTGCTGGGGAGGAGGAACTAAACTCAATGCTTGCGGTGGTATACAGTCAATAAGCCCCATCATGTCAAAGACAGGCGGCGTTATACGTTGGAATAGGCAAACATAATCCTGTTCTAGTTCCCACTCTCGGTTGGCAAGAAAAGATAGATCTGGCTGAATGGCATTGATCTCTGTAAGGTCCCAGTTGTCTGCCCGCTCAGCTCGGATGGACCAGAAGCGAGCAATGTCGGTGTCTCCGAACCAGAGACTAGTTTCAATAGTATCCCACAACAAACCAGGGCCATCGTAGTCTTTCCCCTCAATACACTTGTACTCAATCAGCCATGGGTAGAGGTGGTAAACATGCCACCGCAGGGCCCGATAGGAATCATCCAGCCACACCTCAGTCTCAACTAGCGTCTCCAGTTCGCTTACCCATTCCTCTGAGGGCTTGTTTCCCAATAACGGCATCCGCAGCTCTAGTTGTTCTGCTTGGCTCTGGTTAGTGGTCAGGATTTCCTCGCACCGGAAGGGTCGAATTTCGTCGATGTCCTCCTTCCAGAGATCGGTACGAAGCGCCACCCTCCACTCTGTCTCTCTTTCCTCTGGGATAGGATACTCCATACTGCGCATCACATCCTGTAGTCGCTGCTGGAGCCTGGCGTCAAAGTGAGATACTGCACGGCCTTCCATCTCTGAAGTAGTGCTGGTTTCCCAAATCTTTATGTAGACAGGGACGCTGTATGAACACTAGCGTCACCTTCAATTTGTAAATCCACGAACTGTGTCTCTGAGCTGCTTTACCTCGCACTAGGACGCCATCCCACCGCTTGCCACCATTGTAACGGATCACCTGGCACCCCGACTGGGTACCTCCGTTGAAAGATGCTCCTAGCGCTTCCTGAGGACTCCAAGCACTGCAGCAGACACCACAATCACCAAACCAGAGAAGCGTATACCTTCTCTCAAGCATATGAATGCTGTAGACAGTTGAATAGGAACCATACGAATAGGTTTACTCTCCTAGCAGTCAAACTGGAACAGCATACAATAAATCCTTCCCCCAATAATGAGACGACACTTCACTTTGAGGGTTAAAACAGGAACTCCCTGTACTGTCACATACAGTCTCTTTTATTCCCAATCCACAAACATAGTACAGCCCACAGGGCGTTACAAAACAACCAATCAATCCGTACAATACACCCAGACACTCCCACACAAAATCCTCCCCTCTGCAGGTGATATGATTACTGAACACAATGGGTAATCTCATTATCACCGGCAGAGGAATACAGTTTTTACACAATATTTCTAACTTCTAAAATATACATGTCACAAACATAAAACATACATTTTCATAATCAATCCATTCAGGGGAACAACATATTAAAAAATGGCACGAATCAGACCAGGGGTTCAAAAGTTAAGGGAAAGTCCTTTGTGACTAAATGAAGCATGGCTTTCTGGCCCAAACCAGTTTCAGAGTCTTCTATCCTGGAGAGTAATTCAATTATTTCTGCAGGGGAAATAAACGGTTTAACCTGCAGGGCCATAGTCTAAAGGGAGCAGGCGAGCAACCAGGCTTCTCCAGTTCACAGTGGCGAGGTTGGTTTCGCCACACCGATTATATAAGTGGTGTCACATCTCTGTTCCACCACCCTATAAGGGCCCTGCCAGGCGGCCTGTAACTTATCATGACGGACAGGTTTTAAAATTAACACTTTCTGTCCGACCTGAAAGCTACGGTCCCTGGCGCCCCGATCATACCATGTGCGTTGGCGGGTCTGAGCCGCCTGAAGGTTTTCCCTTACCGTCCTAGTCAATGCTTCCAGGCGGTCTCGGAATGCCAACACATATGGTATGATGGGGGTGCCGTCGGTGCTCCGTTCTCCCTC